TAACTTTAAGTTACATGAGTAAACCACAAGTGAAACTCAAAGAGGTCCCTGGTTTAGAAAATATATAGCAAGAGGAAAATCAAAATATATCGTGGTTGAATTAATCACAAATAATTTTATTAATTATTAGTTGCATAAAAATTCAGATATAAAAAGTTACCTTGAAACCCTTGCAAAACTGCATTGTCAGAACTTGAGTGGTAGTGAGCTCCTGAATATTAATATGGGTGAAAATATTAAAAAAACAAAAAAAACAAAATGCCGATTCAATATGTACTAAGACTATGGGAATAAAAATTGACATCAAATTCAAAGACAAATAACGATAATGGTAGAGTATTGAAAATTCTTAAGTCATACCCAAAAAACCTTAGGAACTGTAATCATTTTGTTATGTTTGAAGTTTTTGGCAATTCTCTCTGAATTGTTTGCCTCCTGTATAAAATCTGTGGACAAGAAAATTAAAGAAGAAATGAAATCATCAAATTCACTATACAAAACTCTATTGAATAAACACAAACACATGTGCACAAAGTAGGCCTTGGTTCTAAAGTTTTAGGTTACTGACCAAGTTCCTGGGATATTGACTTTACAAATTCATAAACTAGCCAATCAAATCTGTATTCAGGAAATATCTGCGAAGTGGAAAAGAAAAAAAGAACTCTAAGAAACAGTATGCGGCTGCATATGATTTGCAACCAATAAATATATGAATCAGAGTTGCACACAGTTCAAGCAACTGCATCATTGATCTCAACTAACATGTCCTACAACAATACAGGCTAAGGCTAAAATCACAGGCAAAACTATGAAACTAGAAGGAAGTAAAAGAATGAAGTCAATTGACAATGCGCAAGATTTTCGCAAGGCAGCATAAACAACTCCAGCACTCTGGAACCATCAGAAACTATAGCCAGAGTATATTATCTGCACCAGCAGTTTCCTGTCAGTCTTAATAAAAGTTCAAACTCCAAACCTATAGCCAGAGTATTTTATCATAAGAAAATCCCACTCCTATCAAATTCCAGTATCCTAGATCAGTTGGTTATAACTATATGACGCCACATAAACATGTCTATTTACTTCCTTTCATATTTAATGGACAGCTATAGATATAAGGAACCAAGAAATACAGGCACCTTTGCGACTGATTTTGAAAGAAATGACATGATCATTGTATCTAACTTCATGTTCTGCTTCAATCCAGGGTATTGCACCTATTTTAACACCAAAAAAGAAACTCATAACAATTAATATTATCAAGGTATGCCCCATTTATGTCTTAGAAAGCACCATCAGAAATGACGAACACTAATTAAGATACACATAAAAGAGAAAGAAATTATTTGAAGACGAATCTTTCAAGTATCTCCCAAATGAATATTGAATGATGAAAACATGGTAATACTTCAAATTTTATCATTGCAAATTAAAATAATTATCGTTATGAGGAGTTAACCTTTACTGCTACTTCCTGGTGATTCTTCAATACAGCATGATGTACTTGTGCAATAGATGCTGCCGCAATTGGTTCCTCATTAAAAGATGAAAATCTGACATTTTAACCAATAGCACTGTTAAACTTCTTGCAAAAACAGACGTCAAGGAACAAAATCTGACATTAAACTTGCTACTCAGACTAAATCAATACATACAAAGATTGTTTTGGAATAACTCTAAAAGACTTACATCTCTGTGAGATTTTGACCCAAGTTGCTTGTCAGAACGTGTTTTATTTCTTGAAAATTACAAGGAACTGCCTTCAATGATTTTTACAAGATAGAAAAGTTAGAAATAGAAAAAACAATTAGAGTCCTTTCTTCAGACTGTTACAAATTCATATATATCAAAAGACAGAAAATGTTTACGAAAGACACATTATGAATTAAGTATAACAGTATTCATACCTGGTCCTGCAACGACGAAAGAGCCAAAGAATACTCTGTAGGAACCAGCTTCAAAGTAGCCACAAACTGACCAGCTTTCACATAAAAACTTTTATTACTTTCACACAGTTTAAGAATTCGTCTAGCAGATCGTGAATGAACCTACAAAACACAAAACAACCCAAAATTGCATTTGCAGTTTACAACTAGTAAAGTATAAGATGCTCAAATCACAACAAGCTAAGCAATCATATCACAACTCTATTCACTTACCTTCCCTAATCAAAAATATATACAAAGCACAGCCAAATTGACCTAACTAAAATTCCATGAGACGAACTTTAACATGAATGTGAAAATTTGACCACCAAAACTTCGAATCATGAAATTGCAAACCTCATTCAATCTCTGAAGATACTCATCGGAGTCTGCTGGTAATCTACGCAAGCTATACTTGTAATCGGCGACAGTGAGACTGATCTACAAGTAGAGAAAGAAACAATAGAATCAATGAAATGAACTGGAATGAGAAAAATGGTAAAACCAACAGAGATAAGGAAATTTACGAACGGCGTAGATAGCGCGAGAAGAACGGACGACGCCTTCTACAGCAGTCGCGATTTTATTTGAAGGAGAGTCTCGGAAAACAGACACGGCGGTGGCGGTGCCAGTGACGGCTGTGAAAGCTAGTCCGGTGGCTGTGAAAACAAAGATCGGGGACTTGGATCTCCCGGGAAGTTTGAATTTGCGGAGAATCTCCATTTTTGTGGATTCTTTGGGGTTTTGGGTTTGTTAGTAGTAACTGAGAAGAAGACGAAGAAGTAGACACTCTGAACGGGGTCGAATCGGATGCCGGATCGGATGCCGGGTCGGATCGGATTAACCGGCAATATAATAGGCCAAAACGGCCCAAATGAACCCAAACTCAAGTATCCAGCATTTAACAACTTACACTGGCTAAAAATTCAAATAATCAATTTAAACCAAATCAAATTTTGTGGATTTCAACTAAGCCTAATTTACCGTTAAATAAATAAAAATAAACAAAAAAAACTGTTGCAAAAAAATAAAATAAAAAATATATATATATACATATATATATATATATAAATTATAAACTTCCTAGTACAACATGGATCAACAACTAGTATTTATTAAATTAAAATAGAGTTATTCAAAATATAATTATGTCACTTATATTTCATGAAAATTTTAACTATGGTTGACTCAACATCTCCACCATCCACACCGAATACAAAAAAAAAACTTGTAATCATTTCAGAACATCACACCGAACTGACCATTGAGATTTATGTTTTTTTTTTTTTGAATAATCAAAGAGGTTCTGGGCCGAATCTTATACATCTTTTCAGGCCCGAAACCAAAGCATGTTATATGGTTTCGTCCCGAGCGCTTCTTCTTTTTTGCCAATATGCATCTTTGTAAACCTACGGCTTTTGAACAAAGTTTTCCATGTTTTACAAGTTAATGGCACTGCTCTCAAAGATTTAAAAGGAAGCTTAGAGATAATCTCCTTTACCACATTCTGTGGAAGATCTGACATCGTCATCGGCATCGTCGTGGACCTTTAGAAACCCTTGTCTGTAATTCCTTGCGAGTTAAGATTGTAGAACAATATATTGAAGACAAAAGAAACCCTAGATGAAGCTGAGGCAGTTAAAGGCTACAGGCCCAAGTCGACCTTTTAATAAGATGAGACACTCAACTTCTTCTCAGGCCCATCTCCACCAAGTATACGTACGTACGTACGTATCTCTCTCTTTTAACCAATCAATAGGGTCAAAAGACTCAAAACTCAAAACCCACGCCTACGCTTCAGCATTGTCTTGTTTCTCTTGTCATCTATATTAGTGTATAAATATTTGTTAGTTATACAAACATATTCTTAAGTTCTTTAAATATTTGAATTATTTCAATTATAGTGTAAACGAAATAACTTACTCAATTCATTACGTAAATTAGATTTACTTCCATTCAATTGAATATAAACCTTAAAGTAAGATGATAGCTACTTAAACTTAAAAGTTTATATGTATTGTTTGTTACAAAAAAAAAAGTTTATATGTAAGTATTGTATGCCCACATATACTAAATAACATAAGATATAGCGCCAACACCATATCTATCATATTCCGATACATTATTCGTCAGAATTCGGTAAAGACCAATGATGACCAAAATAGAATTTTCCAAAATATTTGGTTTCAATAATTTTGAAAATTATAAAATAATTACAACTAATAATATATCTTTCTGAATTATGTATGTGAATGATAGTTTTGAAATTTGATATTAAATATGTGCGAATTATAATTAGTTAACTAATTTCCAATGCACATATATATTTTGTGTAGAAATTGGTTTACTAACTTTTTAATTTTTATTATATAGAATATATAATATTAGTTAATCAATATATGTTCATTATAACTTTAATTTAGATTTGTTAACTAATTCTAAATGAACACATATATCTTCTATGAATGTAACTAATTTAATATGTATTACATTAAAATTTACTCCGTAAAAGTTATTGTGCTACATATATCATTTACATGGTGTATTAGTAAGTTTAATTAGTTATAGTCTTACAATATAATTTTTATACTTTCATATAAAAATGAACATTATGAATTTAGGTAAAACACTCATTGATAACTTTCTCATTCTCCTTACCCGTTTCTCTCGCCTATTACCTACTCACTGAAAACTTTGTCATCACATAGTGATGTAACTTGTTCATGCTTTTCAAATTTACTTAGTTCTCTGATTACTAAACAAGTATACACTCCATGGTTAGTTTCACATCTAGTACTTCTTAATTTATACATAAACTTTAAAAGTAAAAAGTTATTAGTAACGTAAAACTTTGTAAATAAATTATATACCAATAAGTAATATATTAGAAACAAAAACTAAAAAAAAAAATTATATAGTTATAAGATTCGAATACGATCTTGTAGATATTTTTAAATGCGAGTATCGTTTTATAATATAATACAAAACTACAAATTATATAAAACCAAAAAAGGAAAGACAGCAAATATGTAGGGTCAATTTAATCAATACTATAAACGTAGCCTCGTCTCTTCATCATCTCTTCGTATCCTTTTTGGTTCATCTCTTTCTCTTTCACACACTCACAAGAAAGCAAAACACAAAGATGGTTCTTTCAAGAACACAAACGAACAGTGATGAATCTGTTTGCACCATGTTCGGATCTCGCTATGTTCGCACTACACTTCCCAAGTAAGTAACAGTACCAAGTGATAAATATTTTCTTATTGATGGTTTTTATCCTAACTCATTGATTTGGACAAACAAAAAAATAGGTATGAGATCGGTGAGGCTTCGATACCTAAGGATGCTGCGTATCAGATCATAAAAGATGAGTTGATGCTTGATGGTAACCCTAGGCTTAACCTAGCTTCGTTCGTGACTACATGGATGGAACCAGAGTGTGACAAACTCATCATGGACTCTATCAACAAGAACTATGTTGACATGGATGAGTACCCTGTCACCACTGAACTTCAGGTATCTCTCTATCTCTCGATCTTTACATTTCCTAGTTTTACTATGAATCAATGGTGTTAGCTTAGCTAGATCTTGCTTTTGTTCTTGTTTTGGAGTGGTTAATTACTATTATTTCGATAAAATTTTGATTAAAATGGTTAACAAAGTGAGTGGATGATGAAAATTCATATTCATTGTTTAGTATTAGTCCTATTCCTACATTTATTTCTCCTTAACAATATAGAAGAAGACAAATGTATATTATTTCTGCTTTTTAGTATTTGTGATTTAAAAATGACCCATACGTTTCAAGCTTTGATTGGCCGACATGTCCATGATCTTTTAGACTAGTGGACTTGCCCATTTTGTAAGTTGTTTTCTTAATATCTTGAGTCTTGATCATAAACAACTGGTATTGACTATTGACTAATGTTAAATTGTCATCAATACTAGTGATCCCCCCACTTGATGTAAAATTTGGATAATAACACATTCGGTTTATCGATAAACCGATCGGTATATGCATCCGGTTTTGTTTTTTTAACTAAAATGTTACAATCAAGTAGTATGATTAAAGTTGAAACTTCTAAATCATTGAGAATCAAAGTATGGGAGAAAAAGATAGTAAAGTAGAATAATTGTAATAGTCGTAGGACAAAGTTAACACTTTTGTCGGCAACCTCTCTTTTGTTATATCAACCACACATTATTATTTTTGGTTTGTTTTTGATTATTCTACTCTCCACTCTTTCCCACTAATTGAAACAGTTTCATTGAGTTTTTTTTTTTTGTTTATGTATGCATGGTAAACGTTGTATGAAATTAAAAGTTAGAAGATAAAAGTAAATAAAGAGGATACAAACAGAAACAGTAGTGACTTGTGATGAAACCTAGTAGGAGCCCCCACCTACCATTAAAATCTTGTGATTGCAAGGTCAGATGTCATATTGATTCTATCATGTGAAACTTAGAAAGCTTCACCAATAAGAAGTTGGTACTTGTTTGTTCACAAATAGTTATGTGACATAACTTATGCGATGGCATTGATAGTGTGAATAAGATGATAGTAAAGTATCATAACGTACTTTAGACAGTTATTATGTATTCATAACGTTTATTTTCTTAGAAAAATTATACTAATTAATTTACCAATATGCTTTGATTAATAAAATTTTACTCATAATTCATAGTTTTGAATATTTTGGGAAAAAAACAGAACCGATGTGTGAACATTATAGCTAGGCTGTTCAATGCGCCACTCGAGGAAACTGAGACTGCGGTGGGAGTAGGAACAGTTGGTTCTTCGGAAGCCATCATGTTAGCTGGATTGGCCTTTAAAAGAAAATGGCAGAACAGACGCAAGGCTGAGGGTAAACCCTATGACAAACCAAACATTGTCACTGGAGCCAATGTTCAAGTAAGTATATATATACATCTTCATTAGTACTATAGTGGAAAAAAATCATATATATAGAGATGGTCTAGTAAGAATAATACTTCAAATATCTTATATATATTTCGTTAAAATAATATTGTAATTTTATCAGGATTTATTTACTCAACTTGTTTTAGTTTTGTATCATATTCACTTTTTATAATAAATCTAAAAAATCCATTACCAAAACAAAAAAAAAAAAAATCAAAAATATCATAGAAATTTAAATTCCTATTTCAATCTTTATGCTTTTCGGTTTTTTTCAGTTCACTTTTTCGATTAGTGGAAAAATAAATTACAGTTAAATAAACTACAGTTACTTTTTCGATCGGAGGGACAGTTGTTTACACATTTGACAATATTCGGAAAATAAATTACAGTTACACTCCTAATAAAGTCGCGTTCCATATTTTTGGATTATTTTTTTTGGATTTGGTTCGATTTTTTTATCTATATGAAACACCTTCATTTTAACAAAATAAAGTGTGCATATGTTATATTTATAGTTTTGTAAAACTAAAGTGTGCATACTAAAGAATAAAGATAGTAACTTATTAAGAGACTCTAATATTTTTCAGGTGTGCTGGGAGAAATTTGCTCGATACTTCGAGGTGGAGCTAAAAGAAGTAAAGCTAAGTGAAGGTTACTACGTGATGGATCCAGACAAAGCAGCAGAGATGGTGGACGAGAACACAATCTGTGTCGCAGCCATATTGGGGTCAACACTCAATGGTGAGTTCGAAGATGTGAAGCGTCTCAATGACTTGCTGGTCAAGAAAAATGAGGAAACTGGTTGGAACACACCTATCCCTGTTGATGCAGCAAGTGGAGGGTTCATTGCTCCATTTATCTATCCTGAGTTGGAATGGGACTTTAGACTTCCTTTGGTTAAGAGTATCAACGTGAGTGGTCACAAGTATGGACTTGTCTATGCTGGTATTGGTTGGGTCGTGTGGAGAGCACCAGAGGATTTGCCTGAAGAGCTTATCTTTCATATTAACTATCTTGGTGCTGATCAACCCACTTTTACTCTCAACTTCTCCAAAGGTATGTTATATGCTATAGTTTATTATTGTATATAATGTTATGTATATGTAACATGGTAAATATTTTTGGCTTTTGTAGGATCGAGCCAAATTATTGCTCAATACTACCAGCTCATTCGTCTTGGGTTCGAGGTGAGTCTAGTGTTACTCATAGTAAACAATAAAAACACGAGAAATACACTCAGATAGCACCAAAATATGGGCAATTATATCACACATTCCGCAAATTCTCAAAAATAACACTAGTTGACAAATTTACAATATTTTAAATAATTTATTAGAAATTTTTTAAAAGTTTAGGTTGACTAATTACATTTAGGATATAGTGTTTAGGGGATAGAGTTTGCTATTTAGATTTAGGATTTAATTTTGAAATATGATGCTATTTTTGAAACTTTTATAGATGGTGTGATAAAGGTAAAAAACATAGATCTTAGTGTTACTCATAGTCTCTTTGATTATTAGGTCAATTTCTTTGATTTTTTTTGCTGACTCTAGTGAATGTTTTGGTTTTGAATAGGGATACAAAAATGTGATGGAGAATTGCATAGAGAACATGGTGGTACTCAAAGAAGGAATAGAGAAAACAGAGCGTTTCAACATAGTCTCAAAGGACCAAGGAGTACCAGTGGTAGCCTTCTCACTCAAGGACCATAGTTTCCACAACGAGTTCGAGATCTCTGAGATGCTACGTCGTTTTGGCTGGATTGTCCCGGCTTACACTATGCCTGCGGATGCACAGCACATCACGGTCCTGCGTGTTGTCATAAGGGAAGATTTCTCAAGAACACTCGCTGAGAGACTAGTGTCAGATATCTCAAAGGTGCTTCATGAGCTAGATACCTTGCCTTCCAAGATATCGAAGAAGATGGGAATAGAAGGGATCGCGGAAAACGTCAAGGAGAAGAAGATGGAGAGAGAGATTCTGATGGAAGTCATTGTTGGATGGAGGAAGTTTGTGAAGGAGAGGAAGAAGATGAATGGTGTTTGCTAAGTAAGTGTGTTTGGTGTTTGTGTGTTAATAAAGGATGTACTCGTGAGGACTTGTGTTTATTTATGTGTTTGGTATCTCTATTTGAGCAAGTTATTATGGATCTTATAAGCTTGAAACTCATTTAAGCCTTTGTTATTGAACTTTTATGATGTCTTAAATTAAAATGTTTCTCCTAAGTATCTAATGGTCCATAGTTTGATGCGTGCCACAAAAACCCGGATATTTACCTGAAATTTTTTGGATACTCGGCTAAAATCGCGTATTTAGTGGTTCTAAAAATATATACCCGACATGACGACTTAATTCGGACATGGAAAGATCTTAACCGAATTTTTATGTTTACTCTTCTAGGTCCTAAACTTCTTTACCGGAAGGACCCGAACCCAATCGGTTCTACCCAAATCCAACTCGAGTACCCGAATGCCTAGACATAACTTTTTACTATTGTTATCGAATGTAATAGACTGCAACCACACATTTCTGTAGTGCAAACTCTGGTTACCTAACTTTGATTCGTACCGTACCATCGTATCTAATAAGGGAGAGATTTGGTAAGCATATTGACATGATTACTCACATCTTTCAGAAATCAACCACAAAGAAAAAAAACATAAACACCAAATACTTTATTATGTCAAGCAAGTCACACACCCCTTTATTATGTATGAGATAAGGCTATAGAATCCTCTACTTCACACAGGGCGGTTTACATACACAATACAACAAGCAAGAGAAATTTTCTAGAGAGCCTTGAGGATATCTTCAACCCCGGAAACGGTGAACTCACCGCCAGATTCAATATTGGCTACAGTCACCTTGAGGTTATCGAGCAACATAGCGAATCTCCTTGACCTAATGCCAAGACCCTTGTCCTTGAGGTCAAGCTCAAGTCCTAGAAGGTGAGTGTATTCACCAGACCCATCAGCTACAAACTTCACATGCTTGTTCTCTGGGTATGTCTTTCCCCATGCCTTCATCACAAACGGATCGTTTACTGCAACAACCAATGTAAATGATGGTGTCAAGCTTTTGCACATCAAGCATACTCAGCCAAATACAAAAAACCATTACAGTTTCACGAACTTTAAACCAAATTCAATATAAGGGATCTCAAGAGACAATATAAACACCCCAACCTCCATCCAAATCACTAAAAGACTATTCTTTAACAACCTTTACATTGATCAATTCATATACAATTCAAAGCAGTCTTATTCAAAGATCATTCACTAGCAAATATCCATTAGCAAGTTACAACCTTTAGAAGGATCAATTCATATGTAACTCAAGTTCGGATCCATTAGCAAGTTACAACCTTTAAGAACGATCAATTCATATGTAACTCAAAGTCAGATCCATTAGCAAGTTACAACCTTTAAGAACGATCAATTCATATGTAACTCAAGTTCAGATCCATTAGCAAGTTACAACCTTTAAGAACGATCAATTCATATGTAACTCAAAGTCAGATCCATAGACCTGTCCAAATCCAAGCCGCTTAAAATCTCTGAAACAACAACTACAATTCACATTGATCTTTGACATGTTTGACTAGACAAACAAATTCGACATTTCAATCAGATTTCAGATTTCAACTACCAAATGAATTCAAGAACATCATAGAGGATTCAAAACTCAGAAACATACACAAAACTGTCATAGAGGCCAGAACAGAGCTGAGATAAGAAAAGATAACAATTAATACTCACCGCTAAAGCAAATGATCTCATCAATACCCTTTGACTTCAACTCCTCTGCTTTCTCAATGAATCCAGGAACATGGCTCATACTAAGATCACAACAACAGCAAAATGAAAACCCAGTTCATAAATCGAAGCTAAGGAGCTTATAAAGCTAGTTCCAAGGAGAAATCTAAAGAAAGTTTGAAACTTTATACATACCTGCAAGTGGGAGTGAAAGCACCAGGAACACCAAAGAGGATGACTTTCTTACCGGCGGCGATGGAGTGAACAGAGACGGTCTGAAGCTGATCATTCTCATCGAAGAATGAGATAGATCCGTCCGGTACAACATCGCCGACAGTAATTGGAGCCATTATGAGAGATCTCTGAGGATTTGAAGCAAAAAGGGGCTAATGAAGAAGAGTTTGGTTTGACTTGAAAATGAGTAATAAGGGGTTGGGACAATTTATAGTGATTTACGGAATCAAAATACTGTATATACTTAATTAATAGATTTCTAAAATTAGTTTTTACCACGAAACGGATAAAAAATAGGTTTTCTAAAATTATGGACAATACCCAAAAATAAACTTTGTTTTCCAAATATATAACATAGACACATATTTTGAAAAATAAATTATTACAAAAAAAAATCTGATTTAAAATCTTTGTTTTACTAACATCAAAAAATCATAGGTATAAACATGAATTCGATTTCATTCTAAATCTATTATCTCATTCATCGTTTCATTGCAAAATAGACTGACTCAAAACCTTCGTTCTTTATATCCGCATTAAAATGCCACAAACATGTGTGGGTTGTCTCTCACCTATTTTTTATGAGTACCTAGACACCATGAACTCCAACATCGATAATAATGTCCAAATCATTGTAGAATCTTTACAGTTCCTAAAGCTGTTATTATTTTGGGGAAAATTTATGACAACAAAAACTGTGTTTTAAAAAAAAATATATATATAATTTCAAAAATCGTACATATAAACATGAATTTTTATCTTGCAGAATTGGACTTTGATCAATTATTTTATTATTACTTTTGATTTAATTTCAATTTTGAATGAACTTATATTTCTTGGTTCTTATTAGAAATCTTACATATATTATATATTTAGTGTAGGAAAATAGTGAACTGTCGATTTGAAACAAGTAATCGATATAACTACCTATATATCTTACTAAAGTTTAGTTACTTTTTCAAACAACATTATTAAAACTTCATAATTAATCATGTTTGGCATAAAAAATGATTTTCATGATTGATTGATCTCGAAAATGATTATCAGTACCGTATGACTGACAATACAATAATGATTTGTAAATTCAGTACAAAACAATTCCTTACCTTCTTAATTTTCATGTATATACGTAGTTGGTACTTGGTAGCTGTCTATTAAATTATTATATTTTACCGTTATGATCATTATTCTAGTACGCTCTATTGTTCGATAAAGATGATTATCAATCCAAACTAAAATATTATTTATTTTATTTATAAAATCTAAACTCTAACCATTATTTAATAAATCTAAACTCAAATACAATTTCGTTTAATTACAAAACTTAAACCCTAACCACTATTTGATAAACCCAAACTAAAATATAATTTTGTTTATTTATAAAAATTAAACGCTAACCATTCTTTTATAAACCGAAACCAAAATATAATTTCCTTAATGAAAATCCTACATAATTTGTTTCCTTAATTTATTTAATTTTGATTTATTTTTTATATAGAAAATGACATGGCATATTTTTGTATTTTGATTGGTTAATTAAGAGGATGTAAACAAGAATGGTTCACCCCTAAGGGTGATCCCAAATATTTTTCTTCAAGAAAGGGCTAATGAAGTGCTTGGATTGCTTGAAAATAAATAATAGGGATTGAGACAATCTATAGTATTTTACGGATTGAAAACATACCATTGATAGATTACTAAAATTATGGACAATACACAAAACTAATTTATTTCCAAATATATAATAGACACATATTTTCAAAATTATTTTCTATGACAAGAAACTAAAATTTGGTTTAAAAAAAATATATATTTTCTAACTTCAAAAATCATACTTATAAGCATGATTTTTTTTTTGTCGATTGGACATGTTATCGATTATCTCTACTATTATTTCTTACTAAATTTCAGTTTTGGATGAATTTACATTTCCTGTTTCTTATTAGAAATCTTGCATGTTGATTTGGTTAATTAGATAAATAGCCAGCTTAAAAAATATTAAAAAAAATATGAAATTGCTATTTTGCTCCCAAAAGCATTACAATTCACAACGATAACACTTCGATTTTTAGAAATATAGAACTCATGAGCAACGTTCAAAATAATTGATTTAGCTACATATCTTACTAAAATATATTTATTTTACTTTTTAAAAAGCATGAAAAAATTTTATAATTTAAATGTGTTCGGCTTAAAACAATTTCATAGTATATAATATATCGAGAAAGTGATTCACACTATCGTGTGTGAATGATGATAAAATACAAATCTTATGATGATTTGTAAGTTCGGTAAATAATTTTCGAACTTTCTCAAACGCTATATGATTATCGAATGAATGTAAAACTCAAAGACCAAACGAAGGACATAAAGAGTCCACAGACGATGGCCGTCGAGACACTACAACAGTAAATGGTAGCTCATTTCTCCTTCTAGTGAAAGTGACATTACCATAAAATTCCCTACCATCTTAATGTTCATACAATCATGACAAGAAAAATGTCCATTAGTTGTCAAGTCTATGTAGCGGTATACGTAGTTGTCACATTTAACATACACATACTTATAGTTACACTTGGATCTGATATGTTATTATAGTCTTACATAACTTAGTATTCGATATACTATAAAACCGTGATTATATAGGCCAATGTCATACATGGGCTTGCATTGTCCCATAATGCTGGGCTCGTGGACTTGTGTCAATGTTCTTACAACTGACACAATGTCATGAGCAAGACATCCGAAAAACATTGGATGGAAACAAACCATGTCCATGGCATCTATATAACTGTATACACAACAAGATATAACTGTATACACAACACCTTTATGTTCATCTTTTCATTGGTATTGAGATATCAGATGCTAAATCCCATGGATAGGACTGTACGAGCATGTAAGTTATAGAAGACAATAACCTAACTATGCATGATACCCTCTTTACCAAAACGATGGTAACCTAACTTTTTGGTACGTGTCTCCCATAAAAGATTAGGTATGCATCTTAATGCATAAATCAACCACAGAGAAAGACACCAAAGTCAGTACTTTATTATGCCTAGCAAGTCATCACACACCGCATTATTATATGCCTACTTGTTCAAAAACCAGGCGATATAGAATCTGCTACTTCAAATACAGCGGTTTAGGTGGACAACAAAGGCAAACGACATAAAGTTTCTTAGAGAGCCTTGAGGATATCCTCGGCGCTGGAAACCGTGAACTCACCACCGGATTCAACATTGGCTACAGTCACCTTGAGGTTATCAAGCAACAGAGCGAATCTCCTTGACCTAACACCAAGACCCTTCTCCTTGAGGTCAAGCTCAAGTCCTAGAAGGTGTGTGTATTCCCCTGACCCGTCAGCTACAAACTTCACATGCTTGTTCTCTGGGTATGTCTTTCCCCATGCCTTCATCACAAAAGGATCGTTCACTGCAACAATACATTCAAATCACGCATGAATACTATAAACAAAACAAAAGCAAGCATAGACATTCAGATCCATAACATTTGCACATCAAGCACACTGAGCCAAATACAACAACCAATCTAATTTTAGAGCTCCTGAGACACCAAATACTCAAGGCAACCGACGGCTAAATCATTAAAGACCCTTCATAAACAACCCTTAAGAACACAATCTATTGTACTCTAAAACTGTCTCATTCCAAGTTCATTCATTAGCAAAGAACATCATCTCTTGTCGATCCATAGAACTGTCTAAATCCAAAACACAAACTACCATTCTCATTATAGCAACTTCGATTAAGAAACCAATTCAACATTTTTGAACAGAGCTACCACAGAGAGCAAAACATATCAATTCATTGTACTCTAAAACTGTGTCATTCCAAGTTCATTCATTAGCAAAGAACATCATCTCTTGTCGATCCACAAAACTGTCTAAATCCAAAACACAAACTACCATACTCAATTTAGCAACTTTGACTAAGAAACGAAGTCAATGAACAGAACTCATCAAAAAGATAAAAACATATCAATTCATACTCACCACTAAAGCAAATGATCTCATCAACACCCTTTGACTTCATCTCCTCTGCTTTCTCAATAAACCCAGGAACATGCTTCATACTAACCTCACCAAAACAGACAAAAAAACACAACTTTCAAATCAAAACTACAAACCCATCAGCTAAGAATCAAAACCCATATCTTACAAAACTAATCCGAAGCAAAAATCCAAAAAAGTTCGAAACTTTATACCTGCAAGTGGGAGTGAAAGCACCAGGAACACCAAAGAGGATGACTTTTTTGCCGGCGGCGATAGCGTGAACAGAGACGGTCTGAAGCTGATCATTCTCATCGAAGTATGAGATAGTTCCGTCTGGTACAACATCGCCTACAGCAATTGGAGCCATGAGGAGGAGAGATCTCTGTGGCTGAGAAGCAAAAGGGGAAAGTTGAAATAGTTTGGACTTGAGTGAGTGCGAGCAATGATATTTAGGGATTCGGACAAATTTAATCAGCGTCTTTTAGACGTTAAATATAGCATTATTTTATATATTTTGCTTCACAAATATAGCATTTTATCAATATTTCTCAATTTAATGTGAAAAAATATGAAACACCCAAAAATAAACTTTATTTTCCAAATATAAAAAAAATATTATTTTTGGTACCTTAAAATAAAATAATTTTTAGTCACTTTGTAATAATCCATGATAGCTTCCAATTTATTTTTATAAGAAATATTATTATTTTTCTCTATTTTATTTGATTAAAAAAATGTTGATCATTATGATAGAAACCATATTGTATTTACTTTCGGTTCCAAATAATTTTATTCTTTAAATTTATTTGATGTTTAAAGTTTTGTGTAGGAAATGTCTAACCGACTCTGACGAGTCAATATAGGGTAGAACAAGTATATGGTTCGATCGCTGGAGAGCACATCTAACTTAATATTTTTCGAAATTCATATTTGGTTTCAAGTAAATTGTTTCCACAATAATAATATAGTCGAAAAACCATATAAAATGCTATAGTCCTCTCTGAAACCATATAGTATCGACTTAGATCCGAAACCTCTTACTTATTTTTAAAAAGTTTCTATTCTAGTTAATATTGAAATTAATCTCTCTTTTTCTTTTAAGCACCCATGATGGGTGATTACCATCGGACATCAATATTTGTTAATTTTTTTCAAGAGGTGTTTAAGTTTATAAATGCCAAATGCATCATTCCCTCTCAAAAACTCTCTAATGCTTTATTGCAGAAATAGACAACAAGGCCAGAAAATTTGGCAACATCCAACTTTCTCAATAGTAAAAGAAATATACAATCAATAACCTAACTAACCAAACACATATTGAAATAAAATCAAAATCTTAATTGGAAAAAAAAAAAAGTAGTCATATCAAATATATTCAGAAATTGAGTAGTAGGAGGGTAAAAAATATAATAACCATTGCTTAATATATCACATAATGTGATTCACTTTTATGGAGCTGTATAAATGTGTCGGATAAAGGGAAGAGAAGAACCAAATCCAATGGTTCCAATGACAAATCCAAAGTCTTTCCTAATAGCTTTGTTCTTTCCTTTTGCCTCCTTCATGTTGCTTGATTTGCACCGTACTTGGAACATAAGAGCACACAAGTGGCCAACACTGTATGTCTTCAGGTTCTCCAAGAACCAATGTCTTACAGCATCCAGCCTCGCTAATGACATTGATAATGTAATGAGTAAGACCGTGAGTAAGGCCGTGAGTAAGGTCGAATCTTGTTTCTCTTTCTCTACCAAAAACCACAGCAACTTTCTTCTTCTCGTCAATGAAGAAACTCTTAAATGAAAACATCTCAATGGATGATGTATCAATCGTGAATAGATTGATCCACGACACATCGTTGGCCTCAATCTTAGTCGTAATCCATATCTCAAGCTTATTGTATGTTTCGCTTCGTTGAAATAAAGCCGTGATCTTCTCTTCTTTAACGGAAGATAGTGACACACATTGTGCACTCCAAGGCTTAATCGGCAAAGGAAGAAGCGGTCCAAATCTCTCTCTTGTAAAATCAAAACAGATTATATGACCAATGGGTGCGTATGTTTTTCTTCCAGCAACACCCCAATAAGTGTTTCCTTTGATAGAGAGGACATGGTTAGACATTATAGGCCAGTGTGGGGAGATATCAAGAGTAGTCCATGAATCCGAATCAAAATCATATATTTCAAACCATGAAGAAGGGTTTTCGTTGTAAATTCTGAAATCATCTATAAACCTCAAGATTTTGGGGCTACGACGACAAAATCTGTTTTCGCTGAATCCGAAAGCGTACTTGTAATATTCTTGTCCTCTATATCGACTTGCACCGCAATACTTTCTGGTTTGGATCCACCTCGTTTGCCCCAAACTCGGATTCCAAACCACAATCTTAGTATCATCATCTTTCAAGATGCATAACAATAAACCCTCACAATGAAAGATTTGAGATATTTTGACTTGTTCTGGAAGGCATCTAAGTTTACCTAACAACTTTGTGGATGGATCTTCATTAATGATGATGGACATTAAATAAACATTGTAATCTATCATCACGATCTTTCTAGTCTCCCCTATTTCCCTTGCTCCTTCTTCTTCTTTGGCAATGCGCATCTTCATAAAGCTCCGGCTTTTAAAAAATTCGTTCCACTTTTTGCAAGTTAACCTCACTGCCCTCGTAGAGTTCGAAGGAACCCTAGAGACAATCTCCTCTACCAATTCCCTTGGAAGACTTGACATCGACGGCGTCATCATCGTCATGTTTTCAAGTTGAAACAAGGGACCTTCACAACCAGAATCAACATTAGTGCCGTGTGGTACAACTTCTCCCACAGTAATTGGAGCCATGAGGATGGGAAGTGAGAAGTAAAGAGAGATGTGAAGGGTTTCTTGTATGAGTTTTTGGGACTTTATGCCAAAAAGAAATTAGGGTTTCGGAAAATTTATTTATCATTAATATTTAACAGGTTTTAGGAAATATGATTTCTAAAATAAACCCTTTTTTCTTCGAATTAAAATAAACATTGTTTTCCAAAAATACATCAGTTTGATTTTAGCTAACCTTCAAACCTTATTAATTTTGTCGTAGTCATTTTTTTTACAATTGATTTACAAAAGGCTTTCTAAAATTTTATTTAAAAATATTGTAAGAATTTTTTTTATAACAAAGAGTATTTTAATAAGACGACATACTATATATTGATTATAGTTTAGACGTTTTGTCGCAAAACTGTGTAAACAAATTAAAACTTTGGGTAGATCATCGATGTCTTTGATCGTCGGAAAGCGAACTTAACTCTACTCCTCTCATAGTTTAGGTTTGGTTTCTTCCATGGATATTTGGCTTTGGTAAAGTGTTCTAGAGACCATATATATCATCACAAAAAGAACAAGGCTATAGAAAGAGAACTGATTATTTTAGGAAATAGCAACAATAACATGGTCATAATCAGAAGAGTTGCGGCAACCAAAGATTCATCTGAACTATGGACACATGTTTCTTTAGTTGAGGTAACAATACCTTTTGAGATTAATATTGAGGATATCATTTGTAAATTCCAGTTCTGACACCATCCATAAAATTCAATCCCAAAGAGGGATGGGCTCATATAGCTATTGCTTGAAACGGTTTCACTTGAATACATTCTGTTTTCCTTATAATTACTTAAATACTTGCAGGAAGAACTGATGTGTGTGATCCATTAGTAGAGTGTGAGTGAGTACTTCAATATTTGATCTCATTAATAAAATTAATGTTAGGAGGTATTGTTTTTACAACTATGCTAATGTAGTGTGTTATCTCATAGCTACCGTACGTTGAGCTGTTACAAAGTTGCATATCGTTCTTTTTTGGTTTTAGGAATACTTGACTTGTTGGAGACGGCACGTACGTGAAGATTTGGTGGAGAATCTTTGTTAATGAGATGTTGAAGTCTGTGAAGAGAGGAATGGAATTAGAGATGTTGATATCGTTGTGCAACAGTTAATTATGGTGTTGCAAATGAGACTCTTTTTTTCTTTTCTTTTTGGCATCGTCATGGTGATATTTCTTTTATGATTGTTGTGAAACTAAGATTTAGTATGAGCTTTTAACTCATAACCAATTGGTAATTACTGAATTGACCATATTCTCTTATATATAACTTAATTAGTGAATATCAGACGTTTCCTTCAGATCATGTTTTTATTGAGCCTTCTTTTAAACCATCAGTTAATGGAATGATCGATCCTCTTTTCGGACCAAACTAAGTAACGGGTCATCATCGTGTGTTCAGATTCTAATACCATGGTAAAGTAGAATTTCTATAGGTTTTCAATTCAAAAATAATTGGCAATTAGTGGACTAACCATAATAACCCTCTGTATATATTATTTAAATCTCAATCACAGCTTTCAATGTGTGATTTTTACGTTAAGACTTGAGGTGTGTAATATTGTGTTACATAAAGTTTTATCTTCCATGGACTTTTGGCCCATATGAATAATGCAGATATGTATACTCTCTTGCCCACAATCTTTTTGAGAAATCAACAATCAATTACCAAAGTACGTGAATAATCTTAAAGGAACACTTGGAAAAAATAAGTTTTAAACGATAAAAGCATACATACATATAGTTTACTCTAAGCTTTTGTAAGCCTGGAGGACCGAAGCAATCGTTCCAACCAGAGTCAGAAACAAGAGAAGCACTGCACCTAAAGTAGCTGTTCCGGTCAACATGTCGCTGAAGTAGACTTTGTTAAGAGTAGCCCAACACATCTTTCTTCGAGATTTATAGTGAGCTTTGAGTTTCATGGCTATGTAGTAGTACTGGGAATAGTCCCCTAGTCTCAGACCAGCTTGTAACTTGTTGACCATGTCCATCACCAACCTCGGCCGACCCGTAATGTTCCTCACCACCCCTGGTATATATTTTCAAGCAACACATGCATTTGTTGTTATTTCATACCAATTAAGAACTAAATCTAATAATTATATGATTTGTACCTTCTTCGGTGAGTAGTTGGACGTCTCTATCGGAAGTAATTAGAAAATTTAAGAAATGTATGTAGTTAGAAGTCAAGGGTTTTACGGCAACATGGCACTGCTCGTATGCAATTACATTTCTTAGATACATGTCATACGTTTCATCAACATGGAAGATCGGCATCGTTAAGCAACCTTTCTTAAACGTCACTTGCAACGAAAAACGCTCAAGCCTGTACAATGCACAACAAATAACGTCATTAACATTTCTTGTTTGTATCAATTATAATTGAATAACTAGAATGTAACATGTGATATACTAAGGAACAATTTTTGTTTTATTTTAAATTTAATAATGTTAAATTTTATAGATGGTTTTCCCGCTTTTTGATATAATACTATAGTTACCAAAAAGTAATCTTAACTTTAATCTGTCTATGGGCAAAATGTTATTTCATTCATGAACTTACTCGAAAACATCAATTAAATCATGAACTTTCTCTAAAATTATTTAAAACATCAAGTTTTGTTGACTATCTTTTTAAAACATCAAATGTTGTTGACGAAGCCAAAATAGACATGTCGTCAAATCTGATAACGGAACAACTAACACCCGTTTATTTCGTCGTTAACTAATTTGTTATTTACAAAATGACATAGTTTTGTCAAATTGATAAAATGTCGTCTAAACCGTGATCTTTCAAATTATCGCCATTTAAACCATAAACTTTTCCACATGCCATTTAAAATATCAAGTTGTGTTGACGATCTTTTTAAGACACCAAATGTTGTTGACGAAACAAAGAAACATATTTTTTACGAAAATATTTTTTCTAAAATATTTGTTTTGCCAACAACAATTGATGTTTTAAAATGATAGTCAACATAATTTGATGTTTTAAATGACACTCGGAAAATTTTATGATTTAAATGACATTAATTTGAAAGTTCATGGTTCAAACGGCAATTTTCAGTTGACAAAACGATGTCATTTTGTCAATATCAGATTAGTTAACAGTGGAATAAACAAGTGTTAGTTGTTCCGGTATTAGATTTGGCGACATGTCTAATTTGGAGATCTCCATTTTTAACGCCAAAACGTAGTAGGGTTGGAGTAAAACCAACTCCATTTTGGAACTGTCAAGGCTCGAAGAAAAAAAAATAGAGAAATGGGTTTTTGGAAATGCTCTTATTAAAAAGATGTATTAAAACTCAAAAAAAAATTGTGACACTTCTTAAATCATACCTTTCTTGTTGTTGTATCAACTCCGATATAAAAGATGATATCAAGAGGTACTTACGGCCTTTAAATTCTTGTCGATCGAAAACATTGGATGACTGAAACAAAAAGAAAGTTGAGAATAGTCGGGTCAACTAGTTTAGTCGACGTTTATTAAAAATAAGAAAAGAAAAATAAATACATGTAAAGTAATCATACAGGAAATTCTAGAAAATTGATTAACAATAAATAGATGACATTAATAAGAACTGAGGAAATATTATACTGTATTAGACTTAGAGTGATGCTAATTCTAAACCAAATAATAGAGATATGTCTATTGTTAAGCAGAAGCAGAAGCAAAAAAAAAAAAAAATATACCTAATCACAAGTAAAACCTCTATAAATTAATAATGATGGAACCAGGAAATTCTATTAATTTATAAAGATATTAATTTAGCGAGATATTTTTGTAATTTGGTAAGTTTTTAAAAAGATATACATCAAAAATAAGATTTAGTCATTATAATCAATATTTTTTAGAACCAATTACAACAAAAAACAACAATCATCATGAATAAATAAAACAATATATATTTTTTGATACATGTATACTATAGAATTTCTTTTTTTTTTTTTGATACATGAAATCTTTCGAACTGAATTCTAAAAAAAAATATGAATTTGAGAATAAATAACAACATAATAGTCATATTTCACCAAAACTTTTACATGTATATAGATATATATTAATAATTTTATGTAATTATTATTTATACTATTATTGGGACCATAAATTTACAAAAGATTTTCAAAAATATTATTATCTTATTATTTTATCGAAATGTGTCTAATATACTGGTACCAATTTGTAACCGGAGAACTTTATTAATTTATAAAGATTATTAATTTATCGAAAATTAGTTTATAGAGGTTTTACTGTACCCGGAAAGTTACTCCTGCTTGAGATAAATAATCCGCGTTCCTCAACTCACTGATAGGTTGCCTTGATAAGTGAATACATCTCTCGGGATCCTTTAACATCTGATTTCCGACGTCGTCAAATGATTCTTCATAAACACACCGATAAATATCTGTGAAATGCTTGAAGTTTGTTTTCTCTGCGATGCTTATGCGTAAAGATTCCACGATAAATTGGTCAAGGGTCTTATCACCAATAAATGCATTCATACTGGTACTGAACAACCTATCTAAAATGAAATAGGGAAGTTGATTCTCGAGCAACATTAAATCAAGAAAAACCTTCCCATTGTTTAAAGACTCGTTCACGGTCTTGTCCAAATATTTATAAGGTTCCACCCTATCTTTTAGAAAGAATTCCATAATGAAAACTGAATCCTCAAGGATAAGTTCCACGAAGTATTCAGATGATATCCATTCAGTCGATTCTTTATAGCTAGCCCGAATGTTATTTTCTTCTGCTTGTATGGTTTTTCTCATTTCCTCTATAGTATCTTCCCCAACTCTTTGGGTGTAATATTTCAAGTACGTCTTCTTTTTCTCTTCCATCCTAACATATTCCTTTTTCAGATGCCTAGTAAAAACACCCATTGCCATATATATACATTAAACTTTTGGATTATATAAATGAGAATGTCAGTACAACATTTAGGAAGGAGGTGCGAAATCATGACCATGGTTTCAAGTAAAAAATAAATAACAATGAATAAAATGACAGATGTAAATTTTTTTTTTTTTTTTTTTTTTTTTTTTTTGTGTGTGTAACCTTTTCAATAATCGTCAAAACTGAAAGGAGACTATTAGGGTGAAAAGCATAAAAGAAGAAGAAGCAGAATAAGTTGAACCAAAGAAGAAGACGAAGACTGCAAAGAATAAGAGAAGTGGCTAGGACAATATTATGTTAGAGATTTTTATTTTTGGATAACCGTTCGGTTAGCCTCGTTTGAAGCTTACTGAACTGAAAAATCTCGGTTAACCGAACCTAAATTAAAATAGCCTTAATTTGCATCTTGGACAGTTATTTTTGTAAGTAATTAGGTTTATGGACTAGGTACTATTCCAAATTACTGAATTGGAATATTTCCGATCGGTTTCACTCTATTAATAGAAACCGAACCGGTTCAAAATCCCAGACCTCTGATTGGTTTTGGTTAATTATGTTTCTTGGAAGATAAGAAATTTTAATAAATAAATCACATATGGATATCCTAATATCGACATCTGATGGATCTAATGAAATAAGTGTGCAGGTTCTGTACTTCTGTGTATAAGTTTTTGTGTTTGACGTACCAGGGATAGCTGCTACTCGTTTCAGCACCATCCTCAGCAGTTGATGGTTTGGGAGAACGATGAAGCGGGCCAATGACGACCATTTTAGGTGTATAGGCTTCAGGTTTCACATCACGTATCTGACTTGGTACTCTATATATGCAAGGTTCATGAACTTGAATTTCCACATGTCCCATAACTTGAATTTCCATATCTCCCATAGGTCAATGACCTTTCTTTTTCTTCTTCAATATTTGTTAGATATTAATTTATATAGTACAATCCAACAGTATCATTTATATGTACAAAAAAACGATCGATAAAACATATATTAAAAAGACATAATTCAAGGGAAAGAAAGCTTACTGTGTAATATGGAACAAAGATTGTTTCTTGTAAATGTCTTTGACGATTTGGTCCCTTATTTAGAAAACTTGAGAGAGTGTGAGATGAACATATTTTACAATTGGTGGTTTAGGCAGTTTTTATAAAGATAGAAGATAAAAATTTGGATAAGATGAGGACGACGTCAATGGTTGTGAGAGTAGGAGAGTAACGTTAAATCCCACATGCAACGTTAAACCCCACATGCAACAATAAATAACGTCATTATATTACGTAGTGACGGCTGACGCAAACAAATTTTAGAGTAAATGACGTATCATTTATATAAGTGATGACATGGTATCAAGTTTAAGCAACTTGTATACAATTGTTTTCGTTATTTGTAAATGTTGTTAATTAATGCCGATTGTGAAAACTGATTTGAATTTTGTGAATCAACTAATTATATTGATAGTAAGTAAAAGATGTTAATAATTTTCGTTACCGAATGTGATAATTAACCAAAACTGAAGATTTCGATCATTCAACTTATCGATCAGGTTCTACCAAATCTGGTTAAGGTTTGAACTAGGATGTCTAAAATGTTACTATTAAATACAGAGCAAATTAAATTGAGTGCAATATATACAAGTAGAAGTATTATACCCTTTGGTGGTTTTGGATACCACGCACATATAAGAGAGCAAACCAAAAATTGAGAATATATAGCGCTTTATTTAATTTAGAAATGTCATATATTATATATATAGTCAAATTATATCGAAATAGAAAATAATATACAGTATATATTATTTTATTTAAATAGAAAAAATATAATAAACACATCAATGAGAATTCGTAAGTATATCATTATATCGTTTACTTATGTAGTTGATGTAATTCATATTTTCGTGGTAATTTTCTTTTAAATGATGCTAATAAAATTTGAGTTGTATAAATATGATTAGATTATTAGAAAACTATTAATGAAGTCAACTATAATAATTATATACAATAAATAATTCGAGCTTTAGCTAAAGTCTTGATAAAAAGAAAATAATTCGAGCTAAAGTCTTGATAAAAAGAAATTGATGCTATATATTGTACGGTACCTGTTGTTCGTTGGTTGTTCCTCGCCCATAATTGTTATCGTCCGCATGAACTTCTCCATATAGTAGAGTCAAAAAATATCGAATGGCATCAGCAAACGAAAGGTTTAATTCGTTTATTTTAAAAAGCTGTCTATTAAAATTTACAGAAAAAAAAAATTGAAAGTGAAAAAGAAACACAAGTAGTACCTAGGCCAGTTCTTAACCAAACAATAGATATATGTATGCTAATCAGAAGCAAAAAAAAAGACAAAATCCACCACCATTCATTGGCTTTACATGCAACTAGGAAGTATGTCAATGCAAGTGTGACGATGGGAGTGGCAATGATGAGAACGATATCTGTCCTAATAGCTTTGTTCTTTCCTTGTGCCTACTTCATGTTGCTTGATTTGCACCGTACTTGGAACATAAGAGCACACAAGTGGCCAACAATTTTTGTCTTCAGGTTCACCAAGAACCAATTTCTTCAAGCATCCAGCTTCGCCAATGACATCAATAGTTTCGTGAGTTATAAGGCCGTATATATCTTCTTCTTCTCTACCTAAAAACACAGCAACTTTTTTCTCTTCGTCAACAAAGAAACTCTTAAATGAAAACATCTCAATGGATGATGTATCCATCGTGAATAGATTGATCCACGACACATCGTTGGCCTCAATCTTAGTCGTAATCCATATCTCAAGCTTATTGTATGTTTCGCTTCGTTGAAGTAAAGCCGTGATCTTCTCTTCTTTAACGGAAGATAGTGACACACATTGTGCACTCCAAGCCTTAATCGGCAAAGGAAGATGCGGTCCAAATCTCTCTCTTGTAAAATCAAAACAGATTATATGATTAATGAGTGCGTAAGCATTTCTTCCAGCAACACCCCAATAAGTGTTTCCTTTGACAGAAACGCCATGGATAGATATTATTATAAGCCAGTGTGGGGTGATATCAAGAGTAGTCCATGAATCCGAATCAAAATCATATATTTCAAACCATAAAGAAGGGTTTTCGTGGTAACGTCTGAAATCATAATCTATAAACATACCGATTTTAGCTGTCAACCTTATTAATTTTGCCGTAGTCATTTTTTCTTACAATTGATTTAAAAAAGGCTTTCTAAAATTTTATTTAAAAATCTAAAAATATTTTGATGAAAATATTGTAAGAATTGTTTTTTCAAAAAAGTATTTTGGTAATATACTATATATTGATTATGGTTAGATGTTTTGTCGCAAAACTGTGTAAACAAATTAAAACTTTGGGTAGATCATCGATGTCTTTGATTGTCGGAAAGCGAACTTAACTTAACTCCTCTTATAGTTTTCTTAACTTAACTCCTCTTATAGTTTAGGTTTGGTTTCTTCCATGGATTTTTGGCTTCGGTAAAGTGTTCTAGAGACCATAGAAAGAGAACTGATTATTTTAGGCAGTAGCAACAATAACATGGCCATAATCAGAAGAGTTGAGGCAACCAAAGGTTCATCATCTGAACTATGGACACATGTCTCTATTGTTGAGGTAACAATACCTTTTGAGATTAATATTGAAGATTCCATTTGTAAATTTCAGTTCTGACACCTATTAAAAGTCAATCCCAAAGAGGGATGGGCTCATATCTAGCACGAGGCTCCATGTCTCGAGCTACCGGCAGCACAGACATGAATAGCCAATCAAGGTGAATCTATTGTTTGAACTAATGTGTCTGTCTGATCCATTAGTAGAGTGTGAGTTTTTCGATATTTGATCTCATGTATACAACCAATATTTAAGAGAGTATAGTCTTTACAAGTATGCTAATGTAATGGGTTATTATTAGAGTCCAATATCCCACATTGCTTGGGATTAAGATCTTTGGGCAATATATATAGGATGTGGCAATCCTTCTCCCTTGAGCTAGCTTTTGGGATTAGTTAGGCTACATTACTAATAGTTATCTCATATTTACCGTACGTTGAGCTGTTACAAAGTTGCATATCGTTATGGTGGTATTGTACTATAGAGTTCAGATTTGTTTTGAGTTTGATTAGGAAGAAGATGATACGATTATCATTAAGGAGATGACGAATGATGTTGCAAATGATTTTTCTTTTCTTGCATCGTTGGTTAATGGTGATCTTTCTTGGTCATGAGCAAGCTCTTACGTTAAGACTTGAGATGTGTAATGTTCATTATTGTTTCGTGTTACATAAAGTATTATCTTTCATAGACTTTCTGAACAATGTAGAAAAAAACTATAGTTTTGTCCCAATCTTTTTGAGAATTCAACAATCAATTACCAAAGTACATGCATAAACCTTACAGAAATACTTGGAGAAAACAAGTTTTAGACGATAGATAAAAGCATACATATAGTATTACTTGAAGCTTTGGTATGTTTGGATGACAGAAGCAACCGTCCCAACCAGAGTCATTAACAAGAGCAACACGGCAGCTATACTAGCTGTCCCAGTCCACAAGTCGCTGAAGTATACTTTGTTAAGAGTAGCCCAACACATCTTTCTTCGAGATTTATAATGAGCTTTGAGCTTCTTGGCTATGTAGTGGTATTGGGAGGGAGCCCCAGTTTTCAGACCAATCTGTAATTTGTTCACCATGTCCACCACCAAGCTGGGCCGACCCATACTGTTCGTTACCACTCCTATGTTCCAGCATTTGTTGTTAGTCATATCAAATTAAACGTTAAATCTATTAATTTTGTGATTTTTGTACCTTCTTCTGTGAGTAGCTGGACGTCTCTATCACAAGTAATTAGGAAATTTAAGAACTGTATGTAGTTAGAAGTAAAGGGTACTGTTTCATGGGACTCGCACTGCTCATATGCAATTACATTCCTTAGATACATATCAGATACTTCATCAGCAAAGAAACCCGGCATCGTTAAGCAGCCTTTCTCAAACACCACATGCAATGAAAACCCCTCAACCCTCTCTCTGTAGAATGCACAACATATAGCTTCATTAATATGCTTATAATTTTGTTTTGATCAATAATATATTTTTAATCTTTTACTATGTTTTCAAGACCATATATTTTAGATGATTTTTTATGTGAATCTAAAAATATTTTTAGAAGAGAAGTAAAACTAAAAATATCTACAAAATCAATTACTTATTTTTTTTAATTGCCATTGAAATTGTGTATAGATTGTGTTTAATTGCAATTCAAAAAAGAATAATTTTGGAATTGAATAATGGGGGAATTTCAAAAATACCACTTCTCATATACCTCTTTTCAAAAATACCCTCATTTCAAACTTTATAAATAAAAAAATCACTAAAATGTTGGAATTTATCCAAGTATATGTGTAAGCTTATAAAAATATACACAAATTACCTTTGTATTTGTATAAAACTTTATACATCTTTCATAAATAGCGTAAAATAACTTATAAAAACATTTTAAAAACCTTATAAACCCTTTTAAAAACCTTTTAAAAATTATAAAAACGATTAAAACCATTTAAAATATTTTAAAATATTTGTATTGAATCTCTCAGTAGTAGTTATTATGTAGACGTACCTTATAACTATATGAAACTTTATAATTTTTTATATTTAAACAGGAGTATTTTTGAAAATGGATAGAGAAAGGGGATATTTTTAAAAATGGGTATACCAAAAGGGGTATTTCTCAAAAATTATGAAATCAAAATAACAATTCTTGAGTTCACCACGTTAAAATGTGAATCTTCTTTTATTCATCCTTCTTGATTAGCCAATCAAAATTTACCAAGTAACCTGATTAAACAAATTAGAAAGATAAATATTCCCTCTTTATTAAAAGGAAAATTTTATTTTATGATAAACCTTATAAAGGTTATTAAATTGCCTTATAACGTTATTACAAATATAGGTTTCAAAAAAAACCATTATGATTAAAAATCTCAAATACTAATTTCTGCAATTTAATAAAAAAAATTACATTATTATTTTTTTAAAAAAGAGAATAACCAATCAAAATAAACATATAAAAATTTGATATCCAACTTACCATATATATATATATATATATATATATATTAATTTGTTATTAATCATTACACGTCACTTCTCATCTTTATATGATTCTATATTAGCGACTGTTGACCAACTAAATTCGTCGTACAACGGTCATTAATTAGCGACTGTTTTGTGATTAAATAATTTAATTTCGTCTGGTTTGGCGACAAAAAATCATAAGAAGGTAATTAATTTGTGAGTGATAAGTGACTGTTTTTGTAGTCACTAATTCATTATTTTGTGCAAATAGAACTTTCAAATCGCCATTTTTTGTAATGTTATCCCCCAAATCCAGAAAATACAAGTCAATTCTATAAAATCAAAATAAACATGCAATATAGCCCGTTTTCGTTACTAACATGCAAGATAGCCCGCAATTTTTGGGAAGAAACGAAATTCCGCAATTTACAAAAATTATACCTTGTAAAAATAAGTATTTTTTTAAATAGACAGGGTAAAAAGGTATTTTTGGTTTGGTGCTCGAAGCCATAGACGAAGAATTTCTAGTTCTTAAGTTTCATTTATTTTTCTTCTATTTTATTTTAACAAAAATAAATTAAAGGTTGCATATAATGTAAAACAGGTTTTTTTGGTTGAATAAATTTAACAATCATTCAAAAAAGTTATTTTTGAAACAATATGCATAGAAAATGGGCATTTTTATCCCAAACATATAATATGTGTAAATCCCCTTTTTATTAAAAGGGAAGTACATTATAAAAGAAAGGGGAAATTTCAAAAATACCCCTTTTCCAATACCACTTTTTAAAAATACCACTCTTTCTAATTTTATCAAAAAGTCACTATAAATTTTGAAATTTATCAAAACAATATGTATAAACTTATATTTATAGACACAAATTATCTTTACATGTGTGTAAATTTTTATATATATTTCATAAGTACCGTATAAATACCTTTTAAAAATCATATAACAAGCTTATAAAAACTTTGTAAACCTTTTAAAAATCTTATAAAAACCATATAAATGCCGTTTAAAACCTTTTAATACCTTCTAAATATTTGGATTTAGTCTCACAGTAGTAATAATGATCTTGATGTACTTTATCAACCATATAAAAGTTTATAATTTTTCATATTTGAAAAGGGGTATTTTTGAAAATAGATAGAAAAGAGGAGTATTTTTGAAAAGGGGTAAACCAAAAGGGGTATTTCTCAAAAATTCTCTAAAAGAAACTTTACTAATGGTATGTAATTACATTTAAATGCCATTACATATATAGGTTTTAAAGAATTAATTAATAATAATCATTAAGGATATAAATGTGAAATAATAATTTATTCAATTTAATTAAATTATAAAAACGAAAGTACATTATTATTATTATTATTATTATTTTAAAACAATGACCAATCAAAATAAACGTAGAAGATTTGATATCTAACTTATCATATTATTATTTTTATTAATTCTTATACTTCACCTTTCATCTTTATATGATTATATATTTGTAAAACAATAACTCATCATATCATTCATATACTAATAAAAATATAGATTTTTTCTGCATATGCCATGATTTGAATTTTTGAAAACGAATATAAATTGTTCTATTTATAAAAACAAAATTATAACGTGTCAAAATTTTAAACTTAAGTTTATATACAATGTATAATTTTAGTAATACTTCAACCAAATTTTTTAAAGAGTAACGGGTCAGAATTTAAATATTTACAATGTATTTTATACAATAATAAACATATAAATCTTTTAATTTGGAACATGTAAAAATAATGAAACCTGGTGTTTTGAAAAAAAAAATTTTAAAATATTTATTGCAAACGACGAATTAACTGTAATGTTTTATATGAGATAATAAATTATGATTCTTATAATAGACTGCGAGAAGGAGTATAACTAACATAACATATCAAAACTTTGTTTTTCACATATAAAATATGTATAAAACAGAATGTAACCCGTGCTGATCTAGTTTTTGTTATAGTGAGAGTGGTAATTGTTAATTGATGCTACATACCTTTTTTTTTCGTTACCCACCGTGAGCATCCGCTTTATCTTGTGGACAACAGGTTTTTCATCGTCCATATAGTTTGGGAAATCCAAAAGATCGGATGACTGAAACAAAAGAAAGGTTGAGAATACTAAAATTGAAAGTTGGTAAGCGTCTAAAGTCCTATATATGTATTAGATATGCGTGCTAATCAAAAGCCAAGAAAAAGTCCTTATCTTAAAGGTAAACATAGCACTAATCCAGCAGCTAGTTAGAAGAGGTTTTACCTTGAAAGTTACTCCGGCTTGTGATAGGTAATCCGCGTTCCTCAACTCTGTGATAAGTGGCCATCTCCAAACTCTTCTCATCTGTTCTGGAATGTCGTCAAGCGATTGTTCGTACACATACCGGAACATGTCTATGAAATGCTTGAAGTTTGTTTTCTCTTGGACTTTTAGGTCAAAACATTTCAGGATAAAGTGGTCAAAGGTCTCACGATCACGAACACACAATTCCGTTACAATGGAATTGAACAAGATATAGAAAATGAAATAGGGGAGTTGATTCTCGAGCAAGAATAAATCTTGTCTAACCAATGAAGGAAATTGAATATTTTTTCTTATGATGAACTCCATAATGAAAACTGAATCCTCAAGGATAAGTTCTACGAAGTATTCGGATGGTATCCATTCAGTTGATTCTTCATAGCTAGCCCGAATGTTTTCTTCTTGGGCTTGTATGGTTTTCCTCATTTCCTCGATTTTATCTTCCCCAACTCTTTGAGTGTAAGATTCCAAGTACGTTTTCTTTTTCTCTTCCATCTTAATATATTCCTTTTTCAGATGCCTAATAAAACATGGGATCACAAAGTTAACTTTTCGCTTCGTTATCTGTCCAAAACAAGGTCGTTTCTTATAAAGAAAAACTGTGACCAAATGGAATTGAAAAATTGACCTCATAAATTCATAGATGGTTTGTGGATGGGTAGATTGTTTAATGAAGTCGTCAGTTTAATTGTTGGTAGATTGTTTTGAATTCATGTGAATGTTTTGAGACCTTTTTTTTCACTAGAAATTTCATTGATAAACTTGTTGAGTAAACATGGGTAGAATACAAACACCTAAAAGAGGTAGACGACAGCCGGCGGATGATAAGGATGTCCCCGGAGACAAGACCCCAGGTTTTTTTTAAACTTATATAACTCTTTTCTTAGAAACGACATCGTTTTGTCTTGGATTTTAAAATAAATCACATATGGATATCTCTACATGTCTAGATGAGATGAGACCATCATTATTAACGGTATCTTATGGGTAAGATTTGGTTAAGAAAGTATATATTCAAAGAGGTGTATTTATTTTTTCTGTTACTTTTAGTATAGAATTTTCTTGTCTGTGTGTAAGCTTTTGAGTTTTACGTACCATGGATAGCTGCTACTCGTCTCAGCACCATCCGTAGCAGTTGATGGTTTGGGAGAACGATGAAGCGGGCCAATGACGACCATCTGAGGTGTATAGGCTTCAGGTTTCACATCACGTATCCTACTTGGTACTCTATATATGCAAGGTTCTCGAACTTCAATTTCTATATGTTCCATAACTTGAAGTTCCTTACCTTCCATACTGAATGACATTTTTTTTTCCTGCTTCAATATTTGTTAGATACTTGGTATAATCCAACTATATCATAAGTACAAACAAACGATCGATAAACATATATCAAAAGACATGACTCAAGGGAAGAAAGCTTAACTGGTAATATAGATGAACTATGGAACGAAGTTGTAAACCCCTTTAAACGATTTGCCTTTATTTAGCAAACTGAGAGAGATGAACATATAAGTCAATGAATAAAATGGTTACAACTTACAACTTGTAGTTAAAAGATAATAAAAGAAGAATACAGCTGGAAACGTGGGTCTTTAAATATCAATAAAATTTTACGGAGTCAATACGATAAAGTGGTACAACTTGTAGTTATGAAAAGAGAATATTTCAAAAGAAATAAAAAAATAATAATAATAACCTACAATTATTACTTCAAATTTTTTTTTCTTTCTGATCAGCTACATTATTGTATCTAATCCTATTATAACGACGTCCTAACTATATGTAAATGTAGCACATCTATCTATCTCTATATTAGTAAAAGAAAAGTACAAAATAGAATGCGGGTCGAGTTAAAATTAAAAAATTAATCTATCTTTTCATATCTCATTTTAGCGGATTAGGATTTGAAAAAGGGGTATTTTTAAAAAGAGGTATATGAAAAGGGGTATTTTTGAAATTCCCCCAAAAATAAATATGTAATATCACTTAACATTTTCATGTAAATTATTTTAAAACTATATTAAGTAATACAACATCTATATTTTACAATTGTATGCCTATGTATAGTTTGTCAAATAAATTCATATAACAAATTTTTACCAAAATCGCATCTACATAAAAAATCGTAATTTTACAAAAATAACCCCGCACGTACGTGCGGGTCCATCACTAGTGTATCTATATAGTTGTTTATTTTATATTGTTCTAATCCCCTATAGTAAAAAATAAGCACACTTTTATATAGATTGATTGGAATTAAAAATTAATCCGAAATTAAACAATTAGATATTTTAAAATCAGATATTTATCTGGGTTTGGATCTAAATCACATACTTTATCAGCGAATTACATTATTTCCATATCTAGATTTATGATTTCCTAATATTTCAATAACATATTTAAAATAATAAATTAAAAATATTTATTATTCTCCTTTCACATCTTATTTTAATTTATTATATTAAAAATATAATATAAATATATAATAAAAATTCATCTTTTTCTTGAATATGTTGCATCTTAAAATTTTCAAAACGGATATATATAACTCAATTGACAAAGAAAATATTATTATAAACTGAATATATTATTAAAATAAAATTTAGATAACTAAAACGGCTTGGTTAAATATATTGGTAAAATCTAATCAGGTTGGTAAATATTTTCATGAAATTTTATATTAGACTTAATTGATAGAAAAAGGTGTAAAACATACCACATCAGGAAAAAATGTTGGAAAATGGTTTTTAAATCATTAAAACATGACCAGTATGCTTTTAAGTTCTAATTATGAATGAGCATGAAGTTTAACTTATCGGGCTTTCAATTTTAAAGTTTTTTGGATTAGTAAATTTACTTATTTGAGCATATAAATTTTTAAAAAGTTTCAAAATATTATAATTTTTAAATGTTTTAACAGATTAAAATATTTTAATATTGAAACCTTTAAAATATTAAAATATTAAAAAATTATAGAATAATTCAAATATTAGAAACGGGTGAGAATATTGTTGCAACGGGTCAGAACATGATACACACCACTTAAGTTTTACAATTAAATACTTTGTAATACCAAAAATAAATTAGATGCTAATTTTTTTATTTTTACGGGTTGTTAAGAACATAACTAAATCAAAGTCTTATTAACAAAATATACTATTAAAATATTGATTAAATCGAACTTATAATACGAATAAGTTTTATTGATAAACTATATTATTTATCAAACTATATAAATCACAAGTAATTCACGGGTTATTTTGTTAAACTTACAATTATATAGTAGAGCGAATAATCAATAATATTTTTACGAATGCATTCTTTTACAGATTGGTCATTCAAAACATATATTTGTTAGAGACATGTATGATTCACCATAATCAACTATATTTATTTAACACAATTTCATGCATTAACCATACTCGCTAATGTTTTTGAAGAATATTTAATATAAATTTATTAGAAAAATTAGTTACGAAAATAGCAAGAACATAATATAAAAATGATATATTTGTAAAAAACAAAATTTAAAATCTATTATATTAACAATAGCCTGATAGCTTTCCACCGCGCTGTAGCGCGGATCCGATTCTAGTTAGATCCATAAAACATACAAGTTTTTCTTTCTATCAGAACAAACTTTTATATAATTTTTGATATGTTGAAGAGTCTAGTTTTTAAACTTCCCATAAACCTTTAACATGTTTAAGTGGGCTCTGAGTATATGATTATACTCAACGGATTATAATTGATAGTCTTGAGCTACTTTCACCCGTTTTCATGTTTTATATTTTGTATCAATGTTAAGTATTTATATAATTTTTGAAATTTTGACAGAAATTAGAGAAAAAACATATAAACGCTTTAATTGGAGGTTTCAAAGACTGGCTTCCGATAAGGCCGTTTGCTCGTGGCAATTAGGATGGAACTCCAACTCCTCAGAGTCGTGGAAATCATGTAAATTTCCGAGTTTAATATTTTGGAATCGGTGTTTTTTTATCTAGTTCCATTCGGATTTTTCATTGACATCTGTTGTTCTGTTATTGTCTGTTTCTTCTGTAGATTTTGTTTTTATTTCGACCGTTGTCATGTTTGGTTGTTAATTTATCCCTATATAAGGTGTTAGGTGATTCTGAATGAATCATTTGTTTGTAAATTTGTTTGTATTTCATCCAGGCTATAAAATAAAGTTATCATGGAAACAAGTTTCACCATTCTTTCTACTCTGGTGATTCTTTCGAGATATTCACCATTCACGAAGCCGCGTGGCGTGTTCTTTGTGACTTTATCTCGTCTAGAGCGGAAACGGAGTTTGCCAAAGCTGTTTTCGTGTTCAAGAGCTTGTCCATGCCTTTGCATGGTGACAAGCTTCTGGTTCCTCTCATGGATAATCTTTTACCAGCAATCTTGAAACTGTTAGGAAACGTTCACGAGTTCTTGCCCAAGTAAACGTGAATGTTTTGGTTTTGATTTGTGAATTTTTAAGATTAATAAAATGTCAAATGAGCCAATACGGTGAGAGCAGAGAGTCAGAGACAACGAATCAATGATTTTGAGAACCTAAACACGTACATGAAGCAATCACCAAATTATTTCATATGTTCAAAACAAAACTTGGACAAAACTATAGGTAAAGCGAGAGAAAACAAAAGAACCATATATTAGTTAAAAGATCTAACTGAAACCTTTTGTGAGTTTCGGTGCAACGAGTTTACTCAGCCATGTCCTCCTCATCGTCATCGTCATCTTCTCCTTCTTCCTCACTGAGATCAAGCTCAGCAAGCAACTCTTCGATTGGCACAGATGGTGCACCTTCTCCATCATCTATCATTGAAGCAGTTTCAGAAGCTTCATAATCTTTGTTCTTGTACAAAGATATGTTGAACCTTAGCTCAGGGTTCTCTTCAAGATCCCTCAAAAACTCTTCGTATTCCTTATCCGTCTTCTCTGGATCAACCCTGCCTCTTGAATCATCCATTTCCATAGGAAGCCTTTTGGTCTTCCAGCTACGGGCTTTCTTCTTCTTCCTCTCTCTCTGCTCCTCGTAACATTTCTTGATCAGAATTGCTTCAGGAAGCCCATTCTTCACACTCAGACGGTATTTCTCCATTTCGTCGTCGTTAACATTCGCCCCGTAAATGTCATATCCCAGAGCTTGATCGCCCGGTTTCAGAATATGTCCTAGATGAGTTTGAACATAAAACATCTTACCAATATCTGATTCACGGGCTATTTGGACATAGGATAAAGCATACTTTTGTCCGCCAACAGTCGCTTCACTAACAGGTGTCTCCACATCAAACACAAAGTACTTCACAAGTTGTCTACTAGTAAGCGCTGATCGAAACCCTGATCTCCAATACTGCCTCGCATCCAAGAACGCACACCTTAAAGTTCTCGGATCAAGTAGCATAATGTTATCAGAAACTTTCGTGCACACCACAAGTGGACCAAGGTTTCCTAACCCGCTAGCAACTTTCGAAGGCAAGCATACAAGATCCTCACGACAAACAGGACAAATTTTAACAGAGTAAGTATACTTATAATTATACAAACTACTCTTCACATCATGAGACACAAGTTGTTGATCCTGACGATACTCAATCGGAACAACCTTCCGCAGAAACTCAACAAAACTATTAGCATGGCTTTTATTCCCAAAGAAAAAATCAATCCCTTGATCAACCTGCTGAATCCTAATAGCACGAGAAGCCGCATCATGCCTAAGAATCAACTGCTCCAAATAAAAAAAAGTCCTCCTATGAGAAACATGCTGCCTAAGCTGAACAGAAGCAACCCACTGATCAGGATTAGCCTGAAACCTCGAACACGACTCACATAAATTATCTCTCACAGTATACTCAACAGGATAAGACTGTTCAAGAACAGCACCGTTAAGAACCTCAGCTTGAACAGTCAACTTAACCTTAATTCTCTTCGAATGAGGCTCAGTCCAAACGAACTCCGCGTTCTTTAACTTCACTTTATTCAAATTCTTCAACCTTTTCACACAAAATGTCAACAGCTCTTTCGATTCCCACTGCGCTTTGATCCAAGTTTTTGGTGGTTGTAAGTAACAACTGCATTCAGGACAGTAGAAGATTTGAATACTCTTTTGTAATCCTTCGGTTATATCGACTTCGGAACGAAGACAATTCACACACATGTTAGCTACGTTTGGTGGCATAGGTACACCACACTTACAACATAGTACACATCCAATGGTTTGTTGAACATTGAACATTCCTGATTGTTCATCCATTACTGAAGGTATCTGTAAAACATAGGGCACAAATTATGAAATATCAATTTCAAAATCGTGGAATTGAATCATGTGATTTTGAAATTAGGGATTGTATAATCATAGCGATCAAATCGACGGAACGAACAAATAGATTCCGATTCAAATTCGGGCTAAGTTTGTCTACGATTGAATCTTAGGAGGAGAAGGATTTGTGAAGGATGATGAGAATGGAAGAAGCTTACCGGAGAAGAGAAGAAGGCGGCGCGGTGGAGAGGGGGAGGAGGAAGATGACGATTAGCGTAGTTTTGGTTTTTGGCAGAAACAAAAAAAAATATATATATTAAAATACCATTTTCGATTAATTTAGCCAATTTTAAAATGATAATAAAGATAATTTTTAGGAATGAATGAAAAAATATTTATTTTAATATTTAGAATGTGTATTTTTTTAATACATTTTACATGTTCAAAAAAAATATTTAGATAATGTATTTTACATAATCTACATGTTTTATGATATTTAGAAGTTAAGTTATTTATGTTCTATTGTAATTAGAATACTAATTTTTACAAAAATTAGAATAGATATTCTATATTTAGCTCTTCGTTCTACAAAAATTAGAATACATTTTCTAATATTTGCTTATGTTGTAAAATAGTTAGAAAACATATTCTTCAAAATTTTCACTATATTCTATGAAAATTAAAATATACATTTTATTTTATTAGATTTCCTATAAATAAAAACTGAATCACCTAAAAAAGAACTAAATTTTTTTGTAAGATTCACGATTTCTTAATTATTTCTAAAGATTTATCCTCCAAAAAATCGATGAATTTTGTAATTGAAGACATGGCCAGACCATACTGTTTTCAAAATTAATTTTACATGCTATTACTTTAAAAAATTATTAGTTAAATATTAAAAATAAATTATTTTGTATTAATATTTATCCATTATGAGTTATTAATTTTTCTTTTTTAATTATGATATAACCTTCTAGTATTAAAGTTTCAATAACAGTTAGTAATACTAATAAAAATTATTTTATTGAGGTTCTATAATATTTACGTACCCAAAAAAAAGTTATATATTATTTGAATTTTAATATTCTTTTATGGGTTACATATGGGTATCCAAAAATTAAAGGGGGATTGATGCGGGTCAACTTTATTTACTTTGCGAATTTGGCAGAATGGATCGCGGGTTGGACTCGCTTGACATACATAAAGGAAAAAAAATATGGTTTGTAAGGTTCGAAACTGTACTTTTCTCGACATAAATATCAACTTAATCACTACACCAAAATAAACTTATTAAATTTAGTACCTTTAGAAATTCAGCCTCTTGTGCCAATTTAACTTACATCAGTTCTCATAAATATTGCAGAGGCAATAGTGCCGTTAAATACCAATGATGGTTTAAATATAGAGTGTGACTCTTCTAAACCCTGATAACGAATTAAACACATAAAGGAACATATATATACATTATGTAACAGCTTTAGGATGATGAGAGGGTTGCATCGAGAGTGACACTGGCTGCATAATGGTCGAGTGTTGTGATTGTTAAGAACCACCTCAAGTTCGTTTGCGCGTCGTCCTAGCAGAAGCCCCGAGAAGTTTCCTATTACACACTGAGTATGCAATGTGACGCCGCAATCAAAGCATGAATAGAACCATTTACTTGGATCTAATTCTTCCTCACAAATGTCACAACAATAGTTGCTACTCGTCATTTCGCAGCCGAAACATAAAGTGAGAGGGTGCACATCGTTCTTATGCCAAATATATTCTGGCAAATTAGCACAAGACAAACACAAACCATTTTCACAGATTATGCATATCAATGCATAATTATCTATCACGTTACCACATCCTATACAATTGCCTGTAACTAGTTTTATATATAGGGGATGTATATGGCTCTTATGGACGAACGGCTCATATAGAGAACCGCAACGTACATCTATATCCAACCTTCCTTGCGCTGTGTACTTGAAACCATCACATACCATGCTACAAATAGTGCAGTAACTAGTTTTTCTAACGGCTTTCAACGTGTATGGTACGACGTCGAAAACCATTTTTTTCTTCATAGGAAGATTAGCACACTTTTCATGGAGAAAGAACCAACACTCCTCACAAACGTAGAAGTAGCTAAACCCAAGTGAATAGCAACATGCTTCACATCGTATGTGGTCATTATGAATGAGGATTTCCTTGTGGAGCTTTAAAAGATGTTTTTCATGGCTGAAATGAGATATCAAGTTATCACCCACCACCTTGTATGGTGCAATATTTTCTATGATCTCATTAGTTGTCCCTTCATAGTTCTTACCATCCCATTCAATAAACGCGCATATGAAATGAACTGCATAGTTAGGGCATATAGAGCAAGAATAAGCTCCCTTGTACTGATTTATAGATCGGTGACAAACTCCACATTTTGAATACCCAATGCCACGATGATAATTGAAGGAAAGGAGATGATCATGACGATTGATGTTGACAACAAGGGGTAAGCCAATACAGGCTTTGTGGACAACAAAATCACACTGAACACAAATATAAAACCTTGTGGTTACCCCTCTCCCACAAACATCACAAAGATATGAAATTCTCTTAAGAACGAGAGTAAGTGGATGCTTGTGGGTCTTGGTATGCTCAATAACAAGGGGTGGTGGGTTTTTTATACACCTTATGCAGCTGGTGAAATTACATAAGGAACAATGATATAACACAACTTTTGGTTCTTGACATATAAGACAAGACTTCTCAGCATCAACAGCAAGTGTATCAGATGCGATGAGTTTTAGAGGGTGACTAGAATGACAAGGATGGTTTACCTCTTTAGAGAGATTGAGACAATCCGCGTGGAAGTAGACATTGCATCCAAGACATGAATAAGAAGGTCCACCAATAGACTCCTTGCAAAGTTCACAAAGGATATTTTCTTCTTGTTTCTTCAAGAAGACAAGTGGATGTTCATGACTCATTGGATATTCAACAATAGGTGGTGATGGTTTCATCCCACAAATCAAATCCACCTTGTATTGACATGTTAAACAACTATAATACGAAGGCAATAGATTTTTTCCACACAAATGACATGGACTCTCACTCTCTCCCGAGTCGTTGGTGAGCAGGAGAGGATGTTGGGGGTGAGAACTATGGTTTATCTCCAATGGAGCCTCGCCGCACTCCTTATGGAACTTAGCATAACATCCAGGTTCATTGCAATAGTAGCCACCATTTATGTTTTCTTTATATACATGGCAGCCGTTACAATGATGATAAACATATCGAGACGAAGGAAAAAGAGGATGGTTGTGAATAGGTAGCTTTGATGGTGTTAGATTCATCATCTAATGTAATTTGTAAATGAATGAAGAAGTTTTGTTTGATGAGATATAAAAGTGGAACTTGAAAAAACATCTTTTTTTTTTTGTAAGAACATCTTTATATAAGCCTTTTGTAAGTAAATGATTATTGTAGTTGTTATGAATTGTTTTTGAAGTGGACCATCACCTATATCATTTAAATATTAATTTATTTAAAAATATCAAATAAACCAAACCTATATATATGTGTTTTATTCAAAACAAGCAAAGAATCATGTTCATTTACAATAACACGACAAGGCAATGGTGTTGCATAAATTTCTAGAGTTTACTTACCTAAACAGTAAAATAAAACTTATGTAATTATGTCAATGAATTATTACGTCTTACTTTATTATCGATCGTTAGCGGTTGATACTAATCATAAAAATTATTTTGTATCGCTTCAGATAGTTCGAAATCGTTGGATTTCAAAAGCAAAAATCATAAAAACATTATTTAAGTCCTAAATATATTCACATAAATTCTCAAATAATAATATTTCCTTAACTTTATTTTTCCATTATGCATAATTATTCGTGTTTCATTACAAAATCAATTTTTTAATATTTAAATAATTAATTATTTAATATTTAGGGTTTTTCATTATTAGTCATGTTTAATCTTTATAATACATTTTCATAAATGTACCATTTGTGTTTTATGCCTTTTATATATGTATTATACATTTTCATAACTATATATAGTTATATAGGAAAATTTGGTTTAACCGCTATCGTATATGCTAACCAACCAGTCTTAAATTTCCCGCAAAAACACCCATTTTCAATCGCTAAAGCAATTATTCAAAATATTTAGGGGGAATTTCAAAAATACCCCTTTTCATATACCTCTTTTTAAAAATACCCCCTTTTCAAACTTTATCAAAAAACCCACTAAAAATGTTGAAATTTATCCAAATATGTGTGTAAACTTATAAATATATACACAAATTACCTTTATATATGTATAAAACTTTATATAACTTTCATAAATAGCGTAAAAATAAATTATAAAAACCTTATAAAAACGTTATAAAAACCGTATAAATCCTTTTATAAACCTTTTAAAAACCTTATAAAACTTATAAAAACGATTTAAAACTATTTAAAACATTTTTAAATATTTTTATCGAATCTCCCAGTAGTAGTTATTATATAGAAGTACCTTATAAACTATATAAAACTTTATAATTTTTTATATTTAAAAAGAGGTATTTTTGAAAATGGATAGATAAAGGGGGTATTTTTAAAAAGGGGTATTTCTCAAAAATTCTCAAATATTTAATAACTCTTGAAAATTCCTACCGTCTGCTTCTGCAAAGTCATACAGTTGCAACTGTGATGATATTCCTTTCTCTTGGATGATAAATCACCTCTTCTATACAATAATAAAAAGTATTTATAAGTAAAGAAGTAGTTTACATCTCTTAAGTGTTTAAGAATAAGATCTCTTACGTAATGAGAAAAAATTATTTATAAGTAACGAATTAGTTTACATCTCTTAAGTGTTTAAGAATAGGATGTCTTACGTAATAAAAAAACGAATTTATAAGTGAAGATTTTCACCTCATATTTCGTTCTTTGCAGGCTACGAAGATATACATCGAATAACAAAACGTTTTTCTAACTCATATATTACAATTGCCTTTTCAACTATAGACTTTTTTTTTGTTAAATTATATTATTAATTATAGTGGGATTTGGTAATATGTATACATGGTCAATTTCTTTTTTTTTCATTGTATATGTTACTAGATATGCTCGCATAAAAATGCGGGTTAAAATATAATGTAATTTATTGAAAATTATTGAAATTTTAGTAACAATATATTACATATACATGCTTTTAGATTTTTTGTTATTCTTAATTTAAATTTGAACCTAATATATTTAAAAAAATTCAATAAACTTAATATATGTATCATCATAATAAACCATATTTTAATTTTTATACATTTCATCTTAATGCATGAGAGTTAGAAAAATGTTATACAAAACAAAATATATACACATCAAATCTATATCTTAGTTAAAATTAATATAAAAATAAACAAACATAAATCAGTAAAAACACTGGAAAATCAAAATAAAAAATTAATGGAAACCAACAAACTTTAAATATCTAGTCATCTCGAAAGTACTAATTTTATCTTATGTCAAAATAATTTCAAATGAGTTAAAATTTATAATATATATATATATATATATATATGTTTATATGTATATATATATTATATATATAAGTTCTCATTAAATAATTGAAGATTTATACCTGTACAGTTATTATCTATTTAGTATGCCACCAATACTATATATAAAAATAAATCAAAACCTAAAATAAGAAGAAAAAAATTTGGAAACAAAATGTGTATGTATAATCACTCATTTATAAACCCAAACTGACATATAATTTTGTTTTAGTTGTAAAATCTAAATTCTACCCACTACTTTATAAACCCAAAACGATATATTTTTATGTTTTAATAGAAAAACCTAAACCAGAATCCTCGTTTATAAACTTAAATCGATATATAATTTTATTAAATGGTAAAATCTAAACCCTAATGCCTATTTATAAAACTAAAGTGATATATATACTCTTTTAATTGTAAAATCTAAACCAAACAGAGATTTAACCTTATTTCCAATATTGTTGTGTTTTCACATATACCTAATTTAGAACACACATACAATGGAAAACAAAATATATAACTGGAACATATATTAGTTTTGTTAGTTTTTCTTTTTGGTTTAGGAAAATGAAAAAATAGATATAATAAACATGCAAATTATATGTAGATAAAGTTTTTACAGATATAATAAACATGCAAATTATATGTAAATTTTTTTTCATAATCGATTTCCCTACTACGTTAAGAGCAAAAAGAGATTAATTTTTCTTGACACATGTCAGCATCTGATTTATATACTTAGCACATGTCATGATTTTATTAATGTCTAACTTTGAAAACCAAACTTTTTATAATAAGATATCCAAAAAGGTACATAAATCTAAAATTTTATTATATAAAATTTGTTTTAAAAATTAGATCTTACATGTATTAAATATATCGATGGAACGTAAATACATATTTTTAAAATTAAAATAAAAGTAAAAATTAGAAAATATCTAAAGCCATAAAATCCAATTACATCAATTTTCATTCAATTATTAATTTTGAAATTAATAAGGGCAATTCGGTATTGATCAAATATTTAATTGGATCATCCGCATGATGTTTGAGTGTAGACATTGATGGTTAATCTAAGGTTTAATCTTAATTAGGTCTTTGATGGTTAATCTAAGGTTGAGTTTAGATGTTTAACCTTAGGTCTCTGATGGTTAATCTTAGGTTGCATCTGGTTTGCTTTTTATTATCTCTTTCTTTCTTCTATAAGTGTTGTACACTTTTTAAAACTTCTTTACTTTTTTTTATTGTATGCACTCTCATTCTTTGTCCACTAGTTTACAATTTTTAACAGCTATTTCATGTGTTTACATGTTTACTCGCAACAAAGATTCAAAACTGATTAGGAAGATTATAAAAAAAGTTGATTACAAACAAATTTAATGATACATAAACAACAATGGCTATCTTTTAATATATTGAGGATTCTTGAAAATAAGATAATAGAAGTTTGCAAATTTAGGTTATATGTGAAAATAGGTTTAGAGGGAGAAACAAATCGTTTGTATATATACGTTGTATTTCTTACAATCTATTATTTTATTTATTTTTGAATAATTAAAGAGCTTCTAGGCCGAAACTCATATATCCCCTCAGGCTCGAGACCATGTTATATGGTCTCGTTCCAAGTGTGATATTTCTTACAATCTCTTAAGATGACGGAGACCCCAAAAACCTCGATAAACATGAACCGGAACAAATATATTCGTTGTATTTCTTACAATCTCGTAACATGACCGAGACCTTGGATCGACAATGACATTGGCTGCATAATAGTCGAGTGTTGTGATTATTAAGAACCACCTCAAGTATTATTCCCATAGAGTAGATCAACTGCCCTGGCATGAGACGTGAGAAATCTCCTAGTACACAATAAGTATGCAAGGTTACTCCGCAATCATAACATGTATAGAACCATACATTTGGATCTAATTCCCCTTCGCAAATGTCACACCAATATTTGATACTTGCCTTTTCGCCACAACATAAACTGAGAGGGTGCGCGTCGTCGTTCTTATGCCAAATCTTTCCTGGCAAACTAGCACAATACAAACATAAAGTAAAGTCATGATTATCACAACGCATCGCACAACCATATATCTTGTTATTGCATCCTCCGCAAATGGCTTGAACTACTTGTATATATAGGGGATGTATATGTCCATCATGGACGAAAGGCTCGGATAAGGAACCACAATGTACATCTATATCGACCCTTCCTTGTGCTGTGTACTTGAAACCACCGGATAATGTGTTACAAAACTTGCAGTAACTAACTCCTCGAACAGCTTTCAAAGTGTATTTTAAATAGTCGAAGACGAATTTTTTCTTCATAGGGAGATTAGCACACTTTTCATGGAGAAAAAATCCGCATTCTTCGCAAACGTAGATGGAGCCAAATCCTAGTGGATGGATACATCCTTCACATCGTTTGTGATCATCATGAATGATATATTCCTTGTGGAGCTTTAGAGGATGTATCTCATGGCTGAAATGACATATCAAGTTATCACCCACCACCTTGTATGCGGAAACATCTTCTATGATCTCATCTGGTGTCCCTTCATAGTCTATACCATCCCATCCGCTAAACTTAATCGCGCACATAAAATGAACTGCATAGTTAGGGCAAACAAGGCAATAATAGGCTCCCTTGTACTGACTTATATATTGGCGGCAGACTCCACATCTTGAATACCCGGTACGAGGATGATAAGTGAAAGAAATGTGATGCTCATGTCTATTGATGTTGACGACGCGGGGGAAGCCTATACAGTTTATGTGGATAACAAAATCGCACTGAGCACAAATATAAAGACTTGTCATGCCTGCTAGCCCACAAACATCACAAGTATATGAGATTCTCTTAGAAAACCGAGTAAGTGGATGTTCATGGGTCTTGGTGTGCTCAATAACAAGAGGTGGTGGGTTTTTGGTACAACTTACACAGCTGGTGAAATTACAGATGGAACAGTGATAAACCAAACCTTTTGCTTTTTCACATATAAGACAAGACTTCTCAGCATCATCTAAAAGTGTATCAGATACGATGAGTTTAAGAGGGTGACTAGAGTGACAAGGATGGTTTACCTCTTTAGATAGATTGACACAATCCACATGAAAATACACATAGCATCCAAGACAAGCATAGGAAGGTCCGCGAATAGACTCCTTGCAAAATTCACAAAGGATATTGTCTTCTTGTGTCTTCAAGAAGACAAGTGGATGTTCATGACACATTGGATGTTCAATAGTAGTTGGTAATGGTTTCACCCCACAAATCAAATCCACCTTGAAATGACATGTTGAACAACTATAATAGGGAGGCAATAGCTTTTGTCCACAAAAATCACATGGACTCTCTCCCGAGTCGTCGTGTGTGAGCATGAGAGGATGTTGAGGGTGGGAACGATGGCTTATCTCCAATGGTGCCTCGCCGCACTCCTTATGGAACGTAGCAGAACAACCAAGCTTAGGGCAAAAGTAGCCACCGTACATGTCCTCATTTACATGGCAACCTCTACATGAACCTCCGGTAAAAAGAGCTGTCGGAAAAAGAGGATGATCGTGAATAGGTAGCTTTACTGGTGTTGGATCCATGTAAGTAGATTATATCAAAGAGGTTTGGTTGATGGGATACAAAAGTTAGAACCAGGAAATTATCTTTATATAAGCCTTTTTGTAAACCAATTAAAAGTTAATTAGAAAAGAGTAATAAACAAATTAAACCTTTATCTTTCAAAAGAAACAAAGAATCACGTTCTTCTAAAATAACACGACAATGGACAATGGTGTGTCATAATTATCGCAAAAATTAATTAATGAAGTTTTTAAGTTTCTAACCCAAACATAGATTATAAAACTTGTGCTTTTAAGCCATACATTCTTTTCTTTTGTTTTGGATAAGAATTTTAGCTTTTTATTACTTAAAATGAAACGACCGAGTATTGTTTATGTTAGTAGTTTCTAGATGATTAATTAGTGTAATAGTTTTTTTGAATTGTTGATGATATCACTGTTTATTAAAAGGGAAGTACAATATAAAAACAACATTACTAAAGATATTAAAAATTAAAAATCTTATAAGTTGATTTTTTTTCAAACAAATATATTAAAAATATTTGTTGTAGTCTACGAGTAAACTGTAATATATTATATGATAAAGTGATTTATAATCATATAATAGACGATAAAAATAACTAAAAGTATAAATAAATTTACAAGACATAAATTCATATAACATGTCAAAACTTTATTGTGAAATATAAAATAGATTAAATAGAATATAACATGTGCTATAGCACGATCTAGTTCCTATTACAGAATACAAATAAGGTTCTATCTTTAGGTAATTTTTTTTTTTTTACATCATTACAAATTATACGTCTCTCTCTCAAAGAGAGACCGGACTCGAACCCAGATCTGGTAAAAATGCAACAAAGGTGAGAACCACTAGCCCACTTGTCCTTCTCTTCTATCTTTAGGTAATAAAGAGAGAGAAAAAACAGTTTGCGAATAAGATAGATATTGTGTTACTTTCTTTGCAGGCTACGAAGGTATGTCAAATTTGGAGTTAAAGGAACATAAATGCGCTTACATGGTTACATCTTTTACAAAGAATTTATGTTACGAATAATTTCTATTTCAAGATTTTGGAAATTATTTTAGACTTCCTATTTTGTTATTTCCTTTTCTCATAGGTTTTACATTTTACGTTTTATGATAAGTAAAGATGAGAAACTTGTTTTTGAAAAAGCACTCCAAGCTATAGAGAGAGAGAACTTATAGGTTTAGATAGTGTTAGGTGATTAGGGCATAGAACTACGTACCATGTGTGTTCTCGGGTGTAAGGTAAAAGATTTAGCCTATCATATTGGTGTTTATGTGAATCTATCCTTGTATGTATGTGTTATTTTTATAATTGAGTTTGGTTTTATATAACGTATATGACTTTATATAGTTATTAAACGAGTGTGAGTTAAGGAATGTGTGTGTGTGTGTTAGCTATATTATGATATTGGAATACTATATAATTTGTATCTAATCTCTTTAATTACTTGGATGCACCTTCTTCAGGTAAGCTATGCAGAATCTATGAATTCGCAATTATTCAAAAGAACAAGAATCATCCGAGGATCTTCTCCATGGTAAAAAATTTGCAGTCCGAGAGATTTAGTTGGAGATGTGCATGAACCCTAATTAAGGATCATAAACTAATTAAGAGTCTAAGACAATGTCTTATTTATTTATCTGTAGGGCTCTCTTCTTGTGTTTACTAACACTCACTCTTGTCGTGGGAACCTCCACAGCGACTACAACCATCAATGTAAGTAAACTGTATGTTCATATTATTTATATTGTGTAATATAATTAACTAACTTGTAAAACCTAACAGAGTCCAGACGGAGATATCATAGACTGCTTGGAAATATTAGCTCAACAGTCGTTTAATCATCCTCTCCTCAAGGATCACAACCTCCAGGTCTTTGGTTTATTTATTTATACTTTTACTCATTTACACATCAGTTTTAAGTATTGTATGTGTTTAGTTCTTATTGATACAATGCTATGTTTTTCTCTTTTTTTGAAACGAAATATATTACAGGAAATACCAAGAGAACTTCCTAACACAGCTCAAAATGAAGATGGAGTTAGCGGCTGGCAAATTTGGAACAGTCATAACCGGTTAAAATGTCCCGAGGGGACGATTCCGATACGGAGATTTGTTTCTCGGGTGAACGGGACTACCAATTTTGAGGATATAGCTCAGGGACATGAGGTTAATATATGATTTTCCTTTTTTGTATCATATGAATTGGTTAAAATAAATTCATCATTCTGTTTTGTGAATATGCTAATTGTATATTCGTTTTTTATACACAGTATGCTATCGCAGAATTGAACATCAAACCAAAGATTTATGGAACAAAAGTCACAATGAGTGTGGAACACCCCAAAGTTGCTCAAGTCGATGAGTTCAGCCTAGGCCAACTCTGGCTCGTCTCGGGTTCATTTGAAAATGGTGATATAAACACCATTGAAACTGGATGGCAGGTTAGATTTTAATGAGATTTTAGTTAACTATTTGTGCTATATAAGTTTTATTTAATTTAAAAACTTATGTATACAATATGACTAATAGTGTAATTTTTTTTTCTATATAGGTTTACCCCTGGCTGTTTTTGGACCACCAGCCTAGATTCTTTATTTACTGGACGGTAAGTGTGTGATATATTTCCTTTTCAACTCAATTTTACGAGAAAATGTTTTCTATAAAACTATACTCATACTTTGTTCTTGTAGAATGATGCATACACTCGTGGGAGCTGCTACAATATGCGATGCCCTGGTTTTATACAAATCAGTGGCAATGTCCTCCTTGAAGGCGCTATCCACCGCGACACCGAATTTATTACAATCCAGATTTGGAAGGTTAGATAGTTATTTTATCTTCTTTTATGATTTAACTATTTCACGAAAATATCAATACACGAAATGTAGGATCCAAAGCTTGGACACTGGTGGTTGTCTATTGGTCCGAACAGTGTCACTATACTTATTCCAGTTGGTTATTGGCCGAGCGAGATCTTTACTAATAGTCTCGCTGACCATGCGGAAAATGTGCAGTGGGGCGGTGAAATAGTAAACGAAAACATCTCTGGTCTGCACACGACAACTCAAATGGGATCTGGATATCTTCCAAGTAGCAATAGAGCTGCGTATATGCGCGATTTGGAAATTATGGTTAACACCTCCCATTTCCAGCCGATAACCGATCTCACAACAATAGAGACAAACTCTGATTACTACAAAATCAAGACGACGAGCGACACAAGTTTTACTTATGGTGGACCTGAACATGCCGGAGCGGTTCACGTTAGAGCTAATTTAATTTTTGTTTACATATGTTTCAGCCTTTTTTGCTCTTTTAGTTTCTTTATTCTCCCTTCATTTTGATCTTCTATCTTGAAAAAAACTCGACGATGTTTGGTTTGTTACCTCCTAGTGATTGGTTATAAAATGCAAGCTAATGGACACTTTAACGTCTATATAGTTCAGTCTTTCCTTGTCGAATGATATTTAAATACATACGTCCGCATAAGTTTCATACAATATGATGCGATGACAAAGGTTATTCACTTATGCCGGCGTATGTAATAAACAAAGAAAAGGTTCGAATTGTTTTGGGTGTCACTATTGAATTTGCTTACACCATTGACCATTTAACATATATATTCTCCATTAGTTGAATCAAATAAATCTTTATGCTTCGTAAGAATTTACCTAAATCTTAAATTTTAAAACCTTTGTCCCACTTGAGAGTGAGGAATCGAAACAAAGACTCCCACTTAAGACCTAAATCTTAAAACCAAAACCTAAGACTGTGTATAAAATATAGAACACATATAGATGTGTTTATCTCCAACATAAGTCATCTAAAATTTAATGTATTTAATTTATGTAACAAGAATCTATAAATATAAACTGATCACGATCAGCACCTGCGGTGTAACTGTTACCATAATAAACCCATCTACCTATTTTTCATATAATTTGACGGTGTATTAATTTCATATAATTTATCAAAGCTAAAAAAATCAAATTTTTTTATAATGTCTACATTTATAAATTCAGAAACCCAATTACGAATATTATTCAAATTAGAGAAACTGTTAATTTCCTCTAAACCACTACCACCCCTAGTTTCATTATTATTATTTTTTTAACTTGTAAGACACTGGTTTGTGAAAAGGTTTAAAGAAATTGATTTAGCCACTTATATCATCAAAGTGCGCTTATTTTTTTGGTCAGAGATTCGGAGAGAACTCCAGAGTTAATAGTGCTTATGCTGGAGTAGTCTTTGGATGAATGACCTTTCCGGAAGTGATTATCGTAACTATGTGAGTGAGGCCAAATCACAGAAAAATATCATGTGGTGATTTTAGTAGGATAGGTAAACAAGTTTTTAAAGCCTCCCGAATGTAGCAAACCGATCGTCGGATATGGGTGGGCTCATAGACCTAGGCATGACCACGGTTACGGTTAATGCGGTTTATAACGCCCCGACCATCACATCTCCAGTGGGCCCCACGTTCACCACGAGCCCATAGGTTAACTTTTCTTAATGGGCCTCACGTCCTCTCACTAGGCCCATGAGAAAAATACTTATTGTTTTAATTAATTTTTGATAATGTACAAAACAATGATTTGGCGGCGTACATAACAATGATTTGACAACATACAGAATAATGATTTGGCGGTGTATGAAACAATGAGTACTTGATAATATAAGGAACAATGATTTGGCGGCGTACGAAACAATGATCTATAAATTATACTTTGATTCTTTTAGGTAAACTGATCATGGATTACTATAAACCCAACTACGTATTTCTTATAAAATTTGACAATGTAAAAGGAACAATGATTTGGCGGCGCATGGAACAATGATCTGACTATAACTAATACTCTAACTATATTAGTTAAATTGATAACAGATTACCATAAACCCACTTATTTATTTCTAATAAAATTAAAAATGTAAAGAACAATGATTTGTCGGCATACGGAAAAATGATTTTGCGACGTACGAAACAATGATCTAAGCTAATACTCTAACTCTATTAGGTTTATTGATAACAGATTACCATAAACCCACTTACTTATTTCAAACAAAATTTGACAATATATTAACTATTTCATATTATTTTTTGAAACTAAAAATTAAATACGTATTGAATACGTTTTATAAATCCTAAAACTCTAATGAAAAATATAATTCAAACTAGAGAAACCGTTACTTTCTACTAAACCACTACCACCGCCCACTAGTTTCATAACCCATCTCTGTGTTTTTGTATTTTTGTTCTTTAATTATCAAACATTTATCAGTTACACTTTCAAAAAAACACCTTAATCATTTTAATATAACAAATAAATTTGTCTTTTCTTTTCAAAACCACTCATTTAACAGTTACAACATTTCAATAAAAAAATATGAGCAAAATGCTAAAACCTAAAAATTATAAAATATTGACTCAAAACAACAGTTTTGAAGGAAAATAAAAATAATATTAGTTTTCATTTTAATACTGATCTTATCAACACTGTGAGATTTATTTCTGTTTCAAGATATTTTTCTAAATTTTTCATTTTTTATTTAATTCAGTTGAAAAAGACTCTCTCCTTTCATCTTATTAATTTTGACAATGTATTTTCTTAATTAATATTCAACAAATATAATTTAAATTTGAGAAACCGTAATTTTTCATCGAACTACTGTTACTAGCTAATATATTTTTACTAACTAGTAATATGCCAAGTTGATCGATAAATAACGTGTGTTATAATTATTACAGTTTGTGTTCTAGCCACAAAACTATTATTTTGTGAATATGGTATGATTGTGTTTTGTTTTAGTTAATTGTGACAGCATGTTATTGTTTTAATTAATTTTTGACAAGGTATAAAATAATGAATTGGCGGCGTACGGAACAATGATTTGGCAACGTACGGAACAGTGATTAGACGGCGTACTGAATAATGATTTGGAGGCGTATTGAACAATGATTTGGCAAGATACGGAATAATGATTTGGCGGCGTACGAAATAATCATCTATAACTAATAGTTTAACTGAATTAGGTAAACTGAAAACAGATTACCATAAACCCATTTACTTATTTATTTCTAAAAATAATTGACAATGTAAAGAACAATGATTTGGCGGCGTACGGAACAATGATTTGGCGCGTACGGAACAATGATCTATAACTAATAATCTAACTCTATTAGTTAAATTGATAACGGATTACCATAAACTCACTTACTTATCTCTAATAAAATTTGACAGTAGATTAACTATTTCATATTATTTTTGAAACTAAAAAACAAATACGCATTATTTTAATATATATTTATAAATCCTTAAATTCCAATTAAAAATATAATTCAAACTAGAGAATCTGTAACTTTCCACTAATGACTAAACCACTAACACCGCCCACTAGTTTCATAACCCATCTCTGTGTTTTTGTTTTTTTGCTCTTAAATCATCACACATTTATCAGTTACACTTTCAAAACAACACCTTCATTATTTTATTATAAGAAATAAATTTGTCTTTTCTTCTAAAAAACAACACATTTAAGAGTTACAACTTTTGAATAAAAAAATTTGACCAAAATGCTAAAAAATAAAATTTATAAAATATTGACTTAAAACAACAGTTTTTAAGGAAAATAAAAATAATAGTAGTTGTCATTTTAATCTTGATCTTATCAACACTGTGAGATTTATTTCAGTTTTAAGATTTTTATCTAATTTTTATCTAATTCAGTTTAAAAAAACTCTATCCTCTCACCTTATTAATTTTCAAAATGTATTTTCTTAATTAATTTTCAACAAATATAATTTAAATTTGAGAAACCGTAAATTTACATCGAACTACTATCACTAGCTAATATTTTTTTACTAACTATTAATATGCCAAGTAAATCGATAAATAACTAATATGTGTGTATAATTATTACGGTTTGTGTTCTAGCCACAAAACTATTATTTTTGTTGAATATCATATGATTGTGTTTTGTTTTAGTTAATTGTGACAGCGTATTATTGTTTTAATTAATTTTTGACAAGGTATAAAATAATGAATTGGCGGCTTTCATAACAATGATTTGGCGGCGTACGGAACAATGAGTTGCCAACGTACGAAACAGTGATTTGGCGGTGTACAAAATAATGATTTGGCGGCATATAGAACAATGATTTGTTAACGTACGGAATAATGATTTAGCGGCGTACGAAATAATCATCTATAACTAATACTTTAACCGAATTAGGTAAAATGATAACGGATTACCATAAACCCACTTACTTTTGTATTTCTAATAACAACTAACAATGTGAAGAACAATGATTTGGCGGCGTACGGAACAATTTGGCGCGTACGGAACAATGATCTATAACTAATAATCTAACTCTATTACTTAAATTGATAACTGATTACTCTAAACTCACTTACTTATTTCTAATAAAATTTGACAGTATATTAACTATTTCATATTATTTTTTGAAACTAAAAAATAAATACGCATTATTTTTTAATATATATTTATAAATCCTAAAATTCCAATTAAAAATATAATTCAAACTAGAGAATCTGCAACTTTCCACTAAACCACTAACACCGCCCACTAGTTTCATAATCCATCTCTGTGTTTTTGTATTTTGCTCTTAAATCATCACACATTTATCAGTTACATTTTCAAAACAGCACCTTCATTATTTTCATATAATAGATAAATTTGTCTTTTCTTCTAAAAAACCACACATTTAAGAGCTACAACTTTTGAATAAAATTTTTTGACCAAAATGCTAAAAAATAAAATTTATAAAATATTGACTTAAAACAACAGTTTTTAAGGAAAATAAAAATAATATTAGTTGTCATTTTAATCTTGACCTTATCAACACTGTGAGATTTATTTCTGTTTTGAGATATATTCTAATTTTTTTAATTTTTTTTTTAATTCAGTTGAAAAAAACTCTATCCTTTCACCTTATTAATTTTGAAAATGTAATTTCTTAATTAATATTCAACAAATGTAATATAAATTTGAGAAAATGTAATTTTTCATCGAACTACTATCAGTAGCTAATATTTTTTACTAACTATTAATATGCCAAGTAAATCGATAAATAACTCATATGTGTGTTATAATTATTACGGTTTGTGTTCTAGCCACAAAACTATTATTTTTGTTGAATATGGTATGATTGTGTTTTGTTTTAGTTGTGACAGAGTATTATTTGTTTTAATTAATTTTTGACAAGGTATAAAATAATGAATTGGCGGTATACAGAACAATGATTTGGCGGCGTACAGAACAATGATTTGGCAACATATGAAACAATGATTTGTCGGCGTACGGAATAAGGATTTGGCGGCGTACAGAACAATGATTTGGCAACGTACGAAATAATGATTTGGCGGCGTACGAAATAATCATCTATAACTAATAGTTTAACTGAATTAGGTAAACTTAAAACGGAATACCATAAACCCACTTACTTATTTACTTCTAATAATAATTGACAATGTAAAGAACAATGATTTGTCGGCGTACGGAACAATGATTTGGCGCGTACGGAACAATGATCTATAACTAATAATCTAACTCTATTAGTCAAATTGATAACGGATTACCTTAAACTCACTTACTTATTTCGAGTAAAATTTGACAATATATTAACTATTTCATATTATTTTTTGAAACTAAAAAATAAATACGCATTATTTGTTCAATATATATTTATAAATCCTAAAATTCCAATTAAAAATATAATTCAAACTAGAGAAACCGTAACTTTCCACTAAACCACTAAAACCGCCCACTAGTTTCATAACCCATCTCTGTGTTTTTGTATTTTTGCTCTTAAATCATCACACATTTATCAGTTACACATTCAAAACAACACTTTAATAATTTTAAATTCAAAGAAATAAAAATTGTCTTTTCTTCTTAAAAAAACCACACATTTAAGAGTTACAACTTTTGAATAAAAAAATTTGACCAAAATGCTAAAAAATAAAATTTATAAAATTATTGACTCAAAACCATATCTTAGTTGTCATTTTAGTCTTTGATCTTATCAACACTATGAGATTTATTTCTCTTTTTAAGATTTTTTTCTATTTTTTTCATTTTTCATTTAATTCAGTTTTGAAAAAAACACGCTCTCCTTTTTAACTTTCCCCCAAATACTTTCAAAAACCCGCCCCTCTCTCTCTCTCCTCCACCTCTTTATAACTTCCCCCAAATCTCTCTCTCTCTCTCACACTTCACAATTCTCGATAAGCAAAAATCTCTCTCTCTCTTACTTGTTTCAACAATGGCTGTTCAGATTCCTTGCGACGGAGACGGTGTTTGTATGCGGTGCAAAGCCACACCACCGGAGGAAGAGACGCTGACTTGCAGCACGTGCGTCGCTTCTTGGCACGTGGCTTGTCTCCTCCCTGAATCGCTCGTTTCGTCGACCGGAAATTGGGAGTGTCCCGATTGCTCCGGCGTTGTCGCTGTCGATTCCGCCGTTCCTGTTGCTGTTTCCGGTGGTTCCGGTCTTGTGGCGGCGATCCGTGCGATTGAGGCTGATGTGACTTTGACTGAAGCTGAAAAAGCGAAGAAGAGGCAGAGACTCATGAGTGGTGGTGGTGATGATCGTGTTGATGAAGAGGAGGAGAAGAATAAGAAGAAGATTCTCGATGTTTCTTGCTCAATTTGCATTCAGCTTCCGGAGAGACCTGTCACGGTTAGTTTAGTTCTCATCGATTTTTCAAATTTATTTGTAATATGCTTGTGAGAATTGTGATTTGTGGTATGGCTTGTTGGATCTCGTGATTTGTGTTGATGACTTGTTGAATCATGTGATTGGGAAGAGAATCGCTAAGTTATAGTATTGTATTAGATTAGTACTTGAGTAGAGTAATGGATATTTTGTACTTGTGAATTGTGATTTGTGGTAATGACTTGTTGAATCTTGTGCTTGGAATTCTTAACAAGGATGATTCGTGTTTTTTTAAAGGACCATAGAAAAGTTATTTGAAATCAGTTTGATTCTTGTGGTTGTGATGAGTATTTTAAGGAGTATGACTAATGGGTTTATTGTACTTGTTTGTTGTAGACACCGTGTGGGCACAATTTCTGCTTGAAATGTTTTCAGAGATGGGTAGCTCAAGGGAACCTGACGTGCATGACATGCCGCGGCAGAATCCCGAAAGCTGTGGCGAAAAATCCTCGCATCAACTTAACTCTGGTCTCTGCTATTCGTTTAGCTAGGGTTTCCGATTGTGCTGTTGAAGCAGCTACGGTTAAGGTTCAGCATTTCATCCGCAACCAAGACAGGCCTGACAAAGCGTTTACTACCGAGAGGGCCAAGAAGACTGGGAAAGCGAATGCTGCAAGTGGGAAGATCTATGTGACAACACCTGGTGATTATTTTGGTCCCATAACATCAGACTATGATCCAACTAGAAAGAGAGGTGTTGTGGTGGGAGACTCGTGGGATGACAGGCAAGACTGTAGGCAATGGGGAGCTCATTTGCCGCATATTGCGGGCATTGCTGGGCAAGCCCTTGTTGGATCTCAGTCAGTTGCTCTCTCTGGAGGCTACTTGGACGACGAGGACCATGGTGAATGGTTCCTCTACACTGGCAGGTTTGCTTTCCATACTCATATCCTTTGGTGCTTGGACTAGGACTTGTTTCTTACTTAATCTTGTATATCTGTTACTTATGTCCTTGCTGTTCTAATAGAAATAGCCTTGTTATTTGTCTTAATATGTGTGAATGTGTGTTGCAGTGGTGGAAGGGATCTCAGTGGAAACAAAAGAACTAATAAGGTGCAGTCTTTTGACCAGCAGTTTCTCAAAATGAATCAAGCTCTAAGACTCAGTTGCCAAATGGGCTATCCTATCCGAGTTGTCAGGTTAGTTCTTCTCTGAACAAAGTACCTATATTTTTCTCATTTTTTGCAGTCTTTCTTTTAACTATAGGTGAACTGGGATGCTCCTGTGTCATACTTAGCTTTTGTAGTTTATCCTTGTTCATCTTTATACTCTGAGCGAAATGTTATACTGACTCTTCAATTTTCAGGTCTCACAAGGAGAAGCGTTCTGCATATGCCCCTCTGGAAGGAGTGAGATATGATGGGATTTACAGGATTGAGAAATGCTGGAGAAAAGTTGGAATACAGGTTCAAATACATAGACCAAACCTTCTTAATTGTTCACCTATACTTTTTGAGCTGAATCGTTTTTTTTTCCTGACATACTCATCTGTTTTTTTCTTCATAGGGTTCTTTTAAGATGTGTCGTTACCTGTTTGTTAGATGTGACAACGGGGCAGCTCCATGGACCAGGTCTGATATATTTATCTTTCTGAAAGTGCCTTATTTCTGTATTTGCTATATTTAGGGACTCATAAAATTTTGGAACTATACTGTAGTGATGAGCATGGTGATCGTCCAAGACCTTTGCCGGATATCCCTGAGCTTAAGAAAGCCACTGACCTGTTTGTGAGAAAGGAGAAACCATCATGGGATTTCGATGTTAGTAAAGCCTTTCTTGTGTTTGAGCATATACTGAATATTATTTGGTTGGTTCATTATATGACTGCGGATACATTTTCATTGATTAGGAAACTGATGGTCTTTGGAAATGGATGAAGACTCCACCTGTTTGTAAAAAGCCTATTCCTGATATGGATCCTAAGGCGACGAAGATGAAGAATGCGAAACGAGGAAAGAAAACAACGAGGAACACACTTCTCAAAGGTATATATACACATTGACACTGTCACTTGTGTTATTGTATCTATCTAGCACTAATCCATAAACTGTTATATTTTCTCGTTTCGACACAGCCTTCAAGTGCCAAATCTGTAAGAAGATGATGAGTCTTCCAGTGACAACTCCATGTGGTCACAACTTCTGCAAAGGATGCTTAGAGACTAAATTTGCTGGGATAAGTAAAATGCGAGAGAGAAGCAGAGGCGAGCGTACACTACGTGCGATGAAGAACGTCATGCCCTGTCCTCAATGCTCTATTGACCTCTCTGAGTTTCTCCAGAACCCACAGGTAAACACAAAATCATCTCTTCTTGTTACATATCTTAGTTGTTGTTACTGAATTTGGCTTATAACATATATGCTTGATTGATAAACACAGGTGAACAGACAACTGATGGGTATGATTGAGAATGTGAAGAAAGAAGAGGAAGAGTCTCAACAAGGAGAGTCTTCTGGAGGAAACACAGAGTCTGAAGAAGAAGACGCTGACGCTGAAGCAGAAGCAGAAGCAGAAGCTGAAGCAAAAGCTAGAGAAGAAGCTGAAGCTGAAGCTGAAGCTAGAGAAGAAGCTGAAGCTAGAGAAGAAGCTGAAGCAGAAGCTAGAAAAGAAGCTGAAGCTGAAGCTGAGCAGCCACCAAGTAAGAAGATCAAACTCAACAGTGAGTGAGTTGGAGCTGTTGGTGTTGGTAACTAGGAAACTAGAGTTTCCTTAGTATAAAAACTATAAATATTAAATATCTCTCTCTCTCTCTCTCTCAGCTCAAGGAGCTCTTTTGGTTTTGTAATATTTTCGTACCAAACTTATTCTATGGTCTTTATTCCAAACTTATTAATATTTTCTCCAATTAGTCTTTTATTTCTATTCTTATTACATATATATTCAGCATATGCATTTTATTCAGTTTTTTTTTTATATAGGTAAATTTTTCTAATATAGAAAATTTCATCGTTTTATTCTATTAGAATGGTCTTTTTTAAGAATCAATTATGAGTTTGTCTTTTTTTTTCCTAAATAAATCTTTGGATTTGCCATTTTTTGTTAACTCTTATGGATTTACCATTTTTCATGTTACAAATATGCGATGTGTTGTTCTATTTCTCTTTAGGATTTAGTATCTACTTTATTTATTTTAGCAAAAGAAATCATAAATATGGATATCCTACATTCGTAAAAATTTTCCTAGGAAATGACATTTTTCGTAAGAATCACTTTTCTTAAATTGCCCTAGTTATCAATCTCTGTGCTTCATTGATTTTTCTGTATCTTACTTCTTACACAAGCACAACACTACAATTTACACAACAACTCTCACTAGACATTCTTAAAGCCTTGAAGCTTAGCTTAGTCTTTTACAAGCAAAACCTCTAAAAAGACTACCAAAGTAATTTTTCAAACAACACTAATATTTACTTCTTAACTCTTCTCTTACATTTTCTTGGCCTGGTTTGAGAAACAAAATGACATTATTGAACGATTTTCTCGTAAAGAACTTATATGTTGAAGACAAACATGTGCTTCTCGATACGATCGACAAGCTTTGGCTAGCATTTTCTCAAAATCATCATATGGTGTGAAAATTTGCACATAAAGAACTTACATGTTGAAGACAAACATGTGCTTTCTCAATACGAGCAGCTTCTTCTTGACATGTATAAAAGCGACTTTTTCTCGACCAGACACTACACTTCTAAGAATCACTTTTTCTTAAACTGCCCTAGTTATCAATCTCTGTGCTTCATTGATGTTTGTGTATCTTACTTCTTACACAAGCACAACAACAACTTTCCCACAATTTACACAACAACTCTCACTAGACATACACTAAAAGTTTAGCTTAGTCTTTTACAAGCAAAGCCACTAAAAAGACTACCAAAGTACTTTTTCAAACAACTATATTGGTTTAACTAACTAATATTTACTTCTTAACTCTTCACTTACATTTTCTTGGTCTGGTTTGAGAACTACTCAATAGTTTTTGATTCTATGACATATACAGTATTTGGATATGTTTAGAAAAGACAAACATGTACTTCTCAATACGACAAGCTTCTTCTGGCTGCCATTTTCTCGACATGTATAAAAACGAATATTCCTTGATCGGACACTACACTTGTAAATATTCTTGGCTCCACGTACGTGTTCCATACTCCTTTAACTATGTAAATTTTCACATTTCATCATATTTTTTGTTCGCCAAAGATACTTAAAAGAGGACAAAAGACTATACACAACAAGAGAAAAAAGACTTTGAATGACCTAAGAATAAGACTCAAAGCAAATGCATGAAAACAAACAAGAAAGAAACAACTCTAGGATACATCAAAGTGATGTGAGATCGCTCTGAGTCCTGAGTCCTGACCACGTTTCCATGGATCCCAAAGTGGTAAAGTCTGTTTTACTATAAGTGGACTTTATTAATTAAGACAGAATAAATATGGTCTTGCAAGTTGCAACTATTGTCATAAACATGCAAAAGTTGAGTTCTATATTAGATACGTTTGTTGTTATCATATTGAAAGTTTTGGTCACACAAACCTAAACGTCTTATCCAAAAAAATATATATAACAATTAGTAATAATATTCGAGAAATATTCATCTATTGGTGTGTTTAGAATTTATAGCTGAATTTGGAGGTATTGTAGAAAATTCAATATTGTTAGTTAGAATTTTATACATGCCTTATAAGAATTCTTGTCATCAAGAACCATAATTTTCTCATTTTTTTCCAGTTAGTGAGATCTATCTTTATTTCGTTTACATTATTTTTTCTTCATCTTTTGCATGGTCTTCAAGAAAAAAATTTCAGTGATTTTATTTTATCGTTTATACATGTAAGAAAAAAAAATTCTATACATGATATAATAATTGAGAACCAAAAAAAAAAAAAAAGTTGAGAACCACTTCGTATATATATAAATATATAATATTACTCTTTGTACGTTGTAATCATAGATTATGATGCTCCAACTCACCTTTATAACTAACTAACATTTAACTCGTGACATTTGAATCCTTGATAATAAAGCTTGAATAGTAATATGGATTAACAATTCTATTATCTTTATTTTCAGAACTATTTCGTCAAATTTGAGGTTAACTCGTAGCTGATTATGGTTCGGTAAGAGACTACTAATTCTTATAATGTTTCTATTCATACACCACATCTCTAGTTTTCTTCTTAACTATTTTCAGCAAAAACATGATATACATTTTTGACTAAACTAATACTAAAAGTTCATGTGTCTGATTGTATTGGATTAGCACAAAATATTTTCTATACCTATGCTTTCCCCATCAAATATTATTGAAGATACTATTCCTTCAGTTCTTTGTATTCAATGATAATATTTTTTCCCCAAACACCGAATCACCTCCTAAGCCTACCATATAATTTTTTGTAGTCACTAATCCCATCACCCATGGTATGTTGTCTCAAATCTATAGGAGCTCTGGAACTGCAGAGAGAAATTCTTCAATAATTAAGGCAATCTTTGTTTAGAATTTAAAATTGATTCACCTTTCATCTTTGTTTTTTTTCTTTTCTTTAAATCATCATATAATACATGAAATTAAAGAATCTATTTTTGGCATATATTACTATATTCATATAAATTTGTGTATTTGACGTCCTACATCGGCTAAAGTGTTTAAATAATGATTCAGAGTCATATTATATATATAAGACCAGAGTGAATATAAATCCGAATGAGCATGAATCTCCACTTAATAAGCATCCAAATTTAAAATTTTACATATGAAGATTAGTTTAGTTTTTAAAGTTGAACTTTTTAATTTAAAGTTTATAGTAAACTTTAAACTTTTTAAAAGTTTACAATATTATAATAGATATATCTAAACTAAATAAAATGTATAAAATTATGTATATTTATATATATCAGAAGTTTAAAATAACATAGACACGTTGTATGATGGAACGAGTTTGAATCGATATTACTAAAAATTAAAGTATCATTAATCTGATAATACTTAAACACGGGTTAGATACTTATGTCACTGTTTTTAACAATACTAAGATAAGATATGTTGAATAATTAGTTGCTTTTGTTGCCCTTGTATGGTATAGTTTGGTGTTCACATCTCTTGCAAACCAGAGAAGCGTTCATGGATATAAGAAACTAAATCTTTAAAAGAAACTTATCAAATCCTTTTTCAAATCATCAAAAAGAACCTAAAAACTTAGACTCTCCAGAGATATCTTCCAGACCAAAACCAAACAAAAGATTCAATTGTTCCAACTAGATATTTCCACAATAAGAAAGTTTTGCTTCTTGCTCTATTAGATAATAAAATGACGAACAACAAATAAGAAACTTTGCTTCTTCTTGCTCTTCTGAGAGATAAATGATGAAACAGACGCTGGACAATCCAAAATCCATTTGCTCAAAAAAAGATTTTAATCTACATGAAATCGAAGTCGTCCATGGCATCATAAGGACCAGCCACTAGGTCGTCATCGGGCTTATCTACAATCAGTTGTTTCTTCCTCCCACCTGATGAAGCAATGAAAAACCATTCATGGTTCAGAATAACGATTTACTATAAGCGACAACGAAACTAGACAACTCGGGACAGAATATAGAAAATGACTGTGATTGCACATACCCGTCTTCTTTTTGCCTGCAGCAGCTTCTTTCTCTGCCTTTAGTTTTTCATTTGCTATCGCTGTAATGGACGACGCAACATCTTTAACGTCTGCTGCTTTCATGTTAGTCAGTGAAAGTCTCATGATTGTTTTGAGTAGAGCAATATAGTGATAACTTTTCTGCAACAGAAACCAAAATATGAGTTTTAAAATGCCATAAGACTTTTGTTATAGGCCAACAAGAATAAAGGTGTAAGACAGAATACAGCATACCTCGTATGGTTTAATCCTATGAGAAATCAATTCAGCATATTCCAAAAAATCACTTTCAGACTTCGGGATAAATGTATCAAGGTTTTTTCCTTCATCCTTCACTCGGAAGAGTTCAGCAGTTGATCGATAGTCAGATTCTTCAACAAGCCTGTGATAGAAAAGAACATGACATATAAGACCTTCACGATATTCCATTGGCTGATAAATTGTTCTGATAAAATGATTTTGTTTCTTAATGATTAGAAGCGAAGCATTATGTGTGGGAAAGAGTAGTATTTATAAAACTCTACCTCTGCTGGCGAAGTTTCTCCGCTATAGGATCTAGAGACTCGTCCTTTGGTGTTTCTTTTGAAACTTCAACTGCTTTACCCTTCTTTTCAACAGTTTTCTTAGGAGCCTTCTCTGGAGCAGGCTTTACAACAGGCGGCTACACAAAACAAAGAAAACATCAGGTTCATAGAAAAATTTGCTGATCCTCAAACCAAATTATGCATAAGCAATAGAGAAAGATATCTTAGAGTACAAAAGAAGTTATACCAGATCAGGTTCATCATCATCCTCCCATGAATCCTTAATTTCATTTTCATCCACATCTTCATCATCCCAGTTACTTTTCAGTTCAACTTTTGCTGGAAGTGGTGCAATTTGCTCGTCCTCTGAAATCAGAAAACAAAAACCATAAGAAACAGAACTCCAACACACTACCCGCAAGTGATTAAATTTTGTGATATAAATTACATCCACATACATAGAGAATAAAGACAGGAAACTTAGAGCATAGTCTTACCCCAGTCATCCATAATTGCTACCACTTATCGAGAACTAATTCAAGCCGTTATCTGCGTCCAACTAAAAACCTGCCAGACATACACACGAACATCAGAATCATACTGATTCAATCAGCATAACGTACTGATCAATCCATTTAACAACATACACAGCTCCATCAAAATATATTAGAACAAACAAATACTATAACAAAATCTCAATAAGCTTGCTTCTAACACCAACTTATCGTCATAGGTCATAGCCAGAACATACCTAATACTATTACTTTGCAAACCAAGTTCTCATACCTAACACTCCAACTTTGAGTTAACATGCCAGACGAACAGCAATATATAACCTTCACCACAAGTTTCATGACATCTTTAAGATGCCAAACAAAATACACACACCAACATACAAGGGTCTTACACATAAACTATCCACTAACTATTGAAATTCTCATACAGGCAAGAACAGTGACACAAACCTTTAAAGGATTCAACTTTTGACAATCACAATCACAATAATCGATAAAAAGAGGATTTTTTTGATAAAGTTCGAAACTTTAACCATGAATTTAGGGAAAACCTTAAATCTATTCATCTATCATACAAAGTTCAACCTTAATTTACAATTAGCAATTCAAATCAAAATCACAATTCAATAGAAACCCATCAATAGAATCGATCAGAATCAAGATCTAGAAGTGAATTTAACTGATAAAGGAGAAATCTTTGATAAGAAAACATACCGAGAGAAGGATGAATCCAAAAGGGTTTTAAGCAGAGGAAGTGAAATCGCAGAAAAGTAAAAGATTTGAAAGCGTTTCGTTGGGATTTGGAGTCTCTCCGATGTTGTGGTTTTAGAGCTTCAGAGAGGTACAAAGGGATTTTAAATGGCTTTGTGTGTTGTTTTATTCCTTTTTCTCTTTGGATTTATTTCCTTTTTCTCGTTGGATTTATTTCCTTTTTCTCGTTGGATTTATTTCTTTTTCTACTTGGATTTATTTTCTTTTTCTTTTGTTTTGTTTTGCTTTTTCTACAAAACATTAGTAATTACAAAAACTAAGTGGGTGTTATTGAATATTGTATTTTAAAGAAATCTGAGGTATTTTAAAATCTAGTGTTATTCAATTAAGTATTTTAAAAAGTACATTAAAATCTGCTGTTATTGGATAGTGTATTTGTTTAATGTATTTTAGAATACTTCTAAAACAATTGTTATTGAATGTCCATAGGATTTCATGTTAGGGGGTGTTATTGGATGGAGAATTTTAAGGGATTTTAATTACCGGTGGATTTTAAAGTTCAATAGCCTTTAAATACAACTAAGATGGATTTGGTCTGAAAGAGATGAAATACTTTGAAAAATGTTAGGATTGTGTTTGTACGTGTTTTAGATGTAAAATACATTAAAATCTTAAATGAAACAAAATCCATTGAAAATTGAATAACGCTTGTTTTAAAGTACTTTAAAATACATCCAACAAATGTTAAATCCAATAACAACAGATTTTATTGTGGTTTTTAAAATACATCATTAAATAACACTAGATTTTGAAATACATCCAAATCAATTAAAATACAAGGTTGAACAACACCCCCTTACTTTAGATTTTAACGTATTCCACTTTAAAAATATGAACAAACAGAATCCCACATAATTCTCAAGTATTTCAGTCTCTCTCTTTCTCTCATTCAGATTTTAGAATGAGTAAGGAAAAAAATAAGGATGGCTCTACCCAGGTCTGCTCTTACCAAATGATCACTGTTTCACACCAACCTGATCTCTTTTTATGAATCATTCTCTCTTCCACTCTTTTGTTGGTAATGGAGTTACCATCGTAGACCTATCTCGTTACCCTGAATTCTCGGATGACGAATTGGAAACTGATACAATTTGTGTTAAGAAGTGATTCATCGATATGATGCCAAAAAACCTTTGATTTGATGATTGCAATAGAGACATGATCTATCCCGTGTAACTAGCTTCAGCCTTTCAACTCATCATACTGATATGGTTCAAAAGGTTTTGTTTTGAAAGAGGAGCTTTAGACGTTTAATAACAATAAGGAGAAGTCATCGTAATGGATCGTGATGGGAACAATTAATTAATTTATTAATTTGGATACAGTTAACATAATTTATTGTTAGTTTATCTTATTTTTATTTAACATAAAAAATTAAGTCCACTAACAGTGACTTTTAAATCCTGTTAGTAATATCTTTCAAATCCACTAATGACATAGAAATTCACCTTAATCCCACGTTAAATGCATTTACAAATCCATTGAATTCTAATAATTCACTAATAATTCAAATCCATTAAAAACTTTCATTCAATAACACCCCCTAAACCTAAGAGAAACTCTTAATTTTTGAGTGAAGTTCTTAGAACTAAATAGTTAAAATAATTAGAAATTTTTTTCAGTAAGAATGGGTTTTGAAGTTTGTTGTATTTAGAATCTATGAAATCTTATTTTACAACCCTAAATGCCATATGTTTAATTATAATTTGTTTGTTTTAATCTATTACTTTAAATTTAATCAAATATTAAAAATAAGAATCAATTATGTTTTGCCATTTTTTTAGAGCAGAATTTTTGATTTGCCAATTTTTCATGTTGCAAAAATGCAATTAAATATGCGTTTTACTCTTCTTCTTTTTTTTGAACCAAAATATGCGTAGTCGATTAAACAAGCGTTTTATTCATTATGCTTAGTTTTAGTCAGTTTTATTTATTTTAGGGTATAATAATTACTAGCAAATATATATTTTAGCAAAAAAAAATCATAAATAATGGACAATTTTTTTAAATATTCAAAAAAAAATCCATACAAATTTAGAAAATGACACATTCGTAAAGTATGCCAAAGTTCATTGCATTGTATCACACACCAAATAGTGCTACGTTCTTTCTTCTTCTTCTACTAGTCGTCGTAAGTGAAGGTAACCTTCTTACCGCAGAATAAACTCATATATCACGTTCATAGAAAACACCTGTTTCGTCTTCGGATTCAGTTTGGTCTTCATGAGGAAAGATGTAGATGAATAGTTTAAAACGAAATTAATAAACCATGAATGAATTATTTAGGTAGTTGACAAAAAAAAGAATAATTTACATAAAATGATAATATATTCTTCTATTTTATTTTAATAAATGTAGAAGTTACATGTGAAATTGTAAAATGAAAAAAAAAAAAGAGGTTCAAGAAATGACATAGTCTTTATTTTAGTTTTTCAATTATTAATTTATTCCTATGGGTCGACGATAAAAAGAGGACTAAAAGTAAAATAATAATCTATTATATAAAATAAGCTGTTAAATATTAATTTTAAAATAAGCTGTTTTATTTCAAAATATTAATTTTAAAATAAGCTGTTTTATTTCAGAATCTATATATAATAGCAAACCCACTTTTTGTTTACTGCTGACGTCATCTTTTGAATCTAACGGTTCAGATTGATTTTCATTTGATCTAAAGGTTACTGTTTAATCTCAGAATATATAAAAGTAAAAATATGTCTTTAAAGGGATGTGTCTTTTAAAAAGGATGCATCTTTTAATAAAAACCCCTGTAATTTAATCAATGCAATGTTTCACAGTCACACCCTTTCGTTCTATATATAAATATTCTACAGCTCTTTGTTTTTATTAAAAAAAACTATTAATTGTTTTGTTTTATTTCATTTTAAAAATTTATTTTCTTGAAACAATTGTTTCTTCAAATTTTGTTTTTCCAATCCTATTTGACTTTAAATTTGCTTAGCCATTATCATCTAAAGGTAATAATGGTTATTACCTCTTTGTTAATTAGTTGCTCAAACCCACTTTCTATGGTTGCTGGGATCATCGTTTTAATCTAACGGATGAGATTGTTTCCGTTATCTCATCTAACTATTTATATTTGTTAATGATCCAAAAAATTGCAAAGTTTTATACCCAAAAATTGTGTGTATTCGTTGTACCCCTAGCTTAAAAATTTCGCACTTGTTATTTTCTCACACCTCTTTGTTTGTATATATAGATTTCCGTGGACCTTGAAAATAGATTTTGTTTCTCTGAGTACTGTTTCACACCTCCGAAATTTTAAAAATCTAAATATTGTTTTTCCCATTTATTAGTCTTCATTGATTGACCATCTTCGTTTAAATATGACTGTTTTATTTATTGATTTCCTTATCATCTTATACATGCATTGATCATATCTTCGATGTATTAATCTAGGTAACTAATTTTGACTATCAACCTACTTCTCTTATTACTTTTTTTTGGGTAAATTTGAATAGAATAATGATTTGAAATTTTTTTTATGTGAATACCTTTCATATATCTTGTTAACATTGCTCTCTTCTTGTCACTGAATTGATTTCTGTATTTGCAATAAAATTATTAATTGATCAATTTAACGTCAAAAAAGTATAAAAACTCATATAAACTGTAGTTACATGGCCATAGATTTACACTCAAACATCATCTGGTTTGTTTTGTTTCATCTTCCTCATTTTATTTTATATTTTGATAAGCGTTTAAACTTATAATTTCTACTCCCTGTTTTATTGTTTGATTAGTGACTTCACTAAATTGTCCTCTACTCATGGTGAAGCACCTACACCGGCAGCAATCACCATCAAGTGTGTCGATAGGCAACTCCGAAATCAACTGTGAATGTATGATGATGATGGCTACCAACTGTGGCTCCAATCACACCAAACAACCGGTGTTTAAAATATTAGTATTTTCTTTCTAAGCTTTTTTACTAAGCGTTTAATTTTCTATCAAACGCTGCATTTGATGTAAATTTTTTCTTGAATATAATTTAACATTAAATTCAAAAAAAAAAAGACTAGTCACATAAAATAAGCTGTTATATAAAAAAAGACTAGTCACATAAAATAAGCTGTTAACTATACCCATTTAAGTTTTGATTAAATTATCACTCATTTCGTTTTAATTTAAGTATCATTGAAGGGTTTTTCAAAAAATCTAATAAATTATTAAATATTGTATTTTACCTCTTACAAGAGTATAATTTTTCATATTGATCAGTACATTAAATTAGTAGGGATAAAACTAGAACATTTACCTAACATCTACCTTAAAAACAGAAAACAATACCTCTAAATTTTAAAAAATATTTTTGTTGTCCGACTTTAATTCCGAAAAATATATTATTATAAATACACTTAACCAGTGTGCTACAACAGATCTTTTATTAGGATGTAAATTCACACGAGAACATAAATATTTCAAAATATATTAGTACATATTCAAATAAAAAATATTTCTATTGCCCACCTTTGAACCCAAAATATATCAACTTAACCAATTTGCTACCACATATAGATAAACATTCTTTAAATAAAAAAGGTTTTCGATTGCCGGGCTTTGAACCCAAAAATACATCAATGTAGATGAACTTAACCAATATGCAACAACGGATCTTTTTGTATGAAATAAATTAACACGAAATACATATTTCAAAAAGATAAACATTGTTTAAATAAAAAACAATTTCGGTTTCCAAGCTTTAAACCCGAAAATACATCATTGTAGATGAACTTAACCAGTGTGCTAAAACAAATCTTTTGTATGAAATAAATTAAAATGAAATATTTGTATGAAACAAATTAAAACGGAATATATATA